AGTGCATCTTCAATTTTCCTGTCGGTGCTCGTATTTGCTTTGCGTAACTGTCGAGATAATTAAACAAGCTACGATTCTAAGACGTGTCACTGGCAGCCAACTGCGACGCAAAAGGTTCACGACCGGAAATACAGAAGACGCAGCAGTAGTCAAGCCTACTACTCGTTTTCTGTTTCTCAGACATGTAAATCTTGTGCAACATTCCCTCGAGCCATCGCAACGAATAATTACTGTTCTTCTCTCTTGATGTGCAAAAAGCTACTACTTAATGAATAAAAAATTATATTTCAAAAGAAGATACAATTTGCGAATTGTGAATATAATTTTTATGTTGTTGAAGTGCATTTATAGAAGTTTAATGATACATTCGATGAATTCTGCATAACATTCTGTAGAATAAAATAGAATTGTAGACATGTCATGTTTAATCTGATTAAAAAAAGCGATTTTCCTCTCTCTAAAGTAATTTATTTTAAATTTTTAAACAAATCTACCTCGAGCCTTAAATACGCGAGGGAAAAATATTTGATAAATTCGAGTTAAATGTAAATTCAACTAGATACTCCTCAATTTGTATAAAAATGAATTAAACAATATCAACAATCTGAATTACTTTAATTTGTACGTAGACGCACAATGCGTGTGCAGAGAGAAAAATTTTTCATGGATTTTTCGAGCATAGAAAATTAAATTGCTCTCTCATAGATCTCTTATTTCAAAACCTGTAAATATTATATCCAATAAAGGGAATGCGAAAACACGCATGTTCGCCATTTAATAAGAGTCCTTCATCAAATTCAGTGCGATGGAGCATTATTCCAAGATTGCACTTCATAGAATCGGCGTATCCCGTAAAAAATGATGAAGACTCATAAATATATGCAATATAAGCGTGCAAAGCGGAAGTGCGAACGTCGAACAAAAAAAAAGAAAGAAAAAATTCGTCTCTCACAGAAACTTCAGACGGACGGTGTCGATATTCGGCGTCCACTATAATGCAACGTTTTCGATTCGCATATCCGGTATGCATCCGAACCCATTGAAAACACAGCCGGAAACGATAAAACAATATACCTGGTCGCGCTCGTGAGCCTCGCATCGAAAACACTTGGAAAATGTATTGAAAACACTCGAAAATGATTGAAATCAAACAAGTTACGTGGTTGAGAGAGAAAGCGAGAGAGACGAGAGAGAGAGAGAGAAAGAGAGAGAGATATATATATATGAGTGAGAAGGAGAATTCTATCTATCGGACATTCCAAATACACGGGGTCGATAGTTCAGATCGAACCAACGATTTTGGACGCTGCTCGTTGGCAGGAGATGCTATCAACGAGAGCAGTGGCACAGAAGGGTAACTCGACCGCGGATAAATTGGTCGTTTCGCGATTGCTGTATCCACGGTGTATCCACGTCGAGTATTCGCTATATTTTCGCTCCAGACCGGCCGATCAAGCATCCGGCGGATTATACGAATGCTGATTTTCGTCAACTCATTCGACGACGCCACGTAACACGAATGAAAAATCTAGTTACGTATATCTAGCAGTGCATTCATGTTATTGATGCACCTGGCGCACTATATTTTCTCCTTAAAATCTTTCCAGATGATCGACCAACCATGTGTCGACTATGGACAATCCGTAATAGTTATAAATTATAATATAGTTTAGTAATTATAGTTATAAATTAAATCTTCTTTTGATTATTATATAAAAGTTGTTTGAAATTAAATCTTCTTTTGATTATTATATAAAAGTTGTTTGAAACTTTGTTTTTTAGATTAAAGGATGGCTAACTGATTTAATGAAAAGTACTGTTGTGCAAATGTTAAACACAATTCATGAGAGAGAGAGAGAGAGAAAGAGATCTTCTCTCTATATTTATCTCTAAAATTTTCAGATATGAAAATGGTACATTATACGTAATTTATTATGTATGCGGAAATTTTCGATATAATCGCGATGTTTTTATGAAACGTACAGTCTATAGCCGATTATTCCACGGACATTGATGCGCGAAGGAGATTATGAATCAATAAAAAACATTACATTCTTATTTGTTTAAAAAGGCATTCGATAAAATGAAAATTTTTTTTAATTTCTTGCGCTCAATATATGCATGACTATCTATCTATAATATGTAAAACATAGAAAATTTAAAAGATAATTATATAAGTACACAGTCCATAAATTATAGTATCCAATATCAATAATAATATGTTTCTCTTAATATTTATATATGTAACAAGATATATATAATAGTGAGAATAGTAACTTAATAATTATTATTTAAAACTATTGTTCTTATTATTGGTATTAATGCAAAAACCATTAGCATGATACGAATTTGTGTCAGCTAGCTCGTCACAAAAAGGATCTCGTATCTGATATACGATAACAAACGCGCCACAATTAAAACGTAAATAATCGCGGTTTACATAAATAATCATCGGTATATCGACGGAACCGTTAATGCGAAACACTGTTAATTATTAGATTTATTCGTTAATAATTGCCAAGCAAAGTGATGAGCCAGGCTGATAATTAACGGGGACAACACAGCAGAATGGGCGAATCAACGCGCGATGAATCCGCAATTAGGAAAAAAACCATCATCAGCTTCGCGGACATTTATGAAATATACAAACTTATGGGAGCGTAAAATATGTATAAAATCATCGCTCGCGCTCGAGAAATTTTATTTATGCATTAAGCGAGCGATGATTACGTAATTGACAATTATTTCAATAGAGCCACATTAGATAAAATATAATCATAATTTGTTTGTAGCGAGCCGCTACAAACAATTACATGTACGCTTTTTCAAACTTCGTTACACGAAGCTTTGTATAATGCTTACATTATATTAATAATGTAAAAAATAAAAAGAAGGGATTTAAGTTATTACGTGAGGATACAGTCGCGATTTACAAGCGATCAACAAGCTCCGATATTAAGTATATTGCATACAACAAAGAGCGATGTATACTTAAACGTTAATAGTTTATTCTAAAATAATACAATTTTTATTATCACCTCCTCGCAAGGTATCAGTCAATGATATTTAATGACAATGATGTTTTATTAAAAAAATGTGATCGTTCATTTTTTTCTTTGTATATTGATATATAGCTATAAAGTATAAGTATACATTAATATAACCATAAATTATTTCCAAGACATTCTCTTTTTTTTCTCCAATTGATTTATATATTTATTTTATGTATCGATATATTGAAAATATATAGAGAGGAAAGTGTCGCCTCGTTTCTTTTGCGTAATTAATACGAGCCGACAATTGCTCGTCTGTCGCGACTGTATCGTTGAACCGCGAGACAATATGGTATGAGTAGCGTGTAGAGAAAGTGCGCGTATCAACACTTCTCTCTCGCGTCGATTCATTAAGACAGCTTTCATAGGGTCGGGTAACCGGCGCGATTATTGCCTCGCCTGAAGCGTCCCAATCAACAGAGCGTCAGGTATCCTTGTATGGATGAGCGCGTGTCGAGGGACGGATGGGCATAAACGAATGGGCGGCGGGAGGAGAGGAAGGAAGTGCGAGGAAAGGGGAGTCGAACCGAGCGAAATAGAAGATAATTCCCATTGTTCCGCGTTGAACGCCCGCGAGGCTCCCGCCACTTCAAAGCCGCGTTGCGCGCGCCAGTTCGCCTCTATCTCTCCCGAGCCGTAACTCTCTCATCGAACCCGGCGTCTGGCAGTTAATGAACTGCCCTTCGGCAGTAGCAACGCACACCGTACGTACTCACCGTCCTAGGAACCCAGCCAACCGTTGTAGAACCATTATCCATTTACATAAAGGGCTGCCGCGGAATCGGAACTGAAGGTTTACGCCGAGAACTTCGTTCCTTTTCTCCCTCCTTTCGAGAACTATCCTCTACTTATCCGAATTAATAGTCCTCGATAAAATACATATCGATTTTCATCAATTACGCGAGCGTAAGAAGAATATTTTTATCTAGGAAATTATATGGTTATAAAATGTACATTAACGTTCTTTATGCTTAATGCGTATGATTTTATTGCAGGAGATATATCTGAGTCGTATCGCGTATATTATAAATTTATTTATATTAATGCTTTCTGAAATTTGAAGTTTATTGCGATTTTATTACTGTTTATATCTATACATTTTATATTTTTGCAGATATGTGGATTTATTAAAATTTTTATATGCAATGCTACTCTATATTTATTCACATCTTTTTTATATACTTTGTAGTAGTAAAAGAACCGAATTAAAATTTAATATCGGTGGCATAATACTACAACACATTCTCATCGTTTATTGATATACACAATTTTCTATGTATAGCTACGAAAAATTCCTCCGATATAATTTCATAAATGTGCCTACCGACTTCCTTGGATCATTATCAACAAATACAGATCGTATCGCAAACATATCTATCATGAATAAAGTACGTACATATATCTATGAAATATTAATGTATATATTCCCGTAGGGGATGGTACCTATATATGTATATCGATGTCATAAATGAGAAATAAGATAGCAGCATATCTACCTTAACCAACGTTAAAGGTCGCTCAAACTTGTGACATTAATTAAAGATCAGCACAGATTTAGACATGAGATTATAGATATAAACATATGAATCATCTGAATGAAACTATATATGCTGAATCAAATGAAATGGAACGAAGGATACAAAAATGAAATCAAATGTCAATAGTGGAACACGATTAATGGAAACCAAGAGCAATCAAAGCTACTTCTACAAACACGTGAGAATCGTTCTCGAGTGGCGACACCTTTTCCGTGTCCGCTCGTTATCAGACACACAGCTGACACGTTCGCTAGCAACGACACACAAGCAAGGGAAAGCGAGTAGCGCTGCTCCACCGTCACTCACAACAAACCCCACTCGCGTGCAGTCGTTATTCCCCGGACAGCGACGAGCGCCACCGCGTCAACCCCCTGTCATCGCTCGCAGGGCGCCTCGCTCGCTTACTCACCTGAACCATTGATGTGTGCTGGCACGCGAGACAGACTTCCCCGCTTGACGGCAGTCTGATGGCGTAATCGGCCGATTCGGGTTGACGATGTTCACCGTACATCCGCCGCCGTCGGTGATGGTATCATCGACGCGGTACGTCCTGACGGACGACACACGCTCGCTCGCGCAACCACGCCCGCGAGTATCTCCCGCCGCGCGCGAGGGACACGTCAGAGTGACCCGAGGGAGAAAAAAAAGGTAAGAATCTTGTGCGCGTTTATTTACGGATATCTATCTGAGGCCTGACGAGTTATCAGCCTCGGAGACAGTTTTCTCTCGCTCGTGCAAAACTCGCTGCAGCGTGTCGGCAGGTCAGTTCCGCGCATGCGACGAGCGCGCGCGCAACCGGTGGATCGATCAACCCTTCACGGCGGGTAACGCCACGTTCCCTCGTGATATCCCGCGAAGGTCTACCGTCACGACAGGGATCGAGTAGAGTAGGATAGCGTAAGGTAAGGACCGAGTATTGGTTATTTGCGAGAGACATAATGTCTCCCAATGTGCGGTTAAACTTTTATAATTAACAATTTTGGAAATGTATATATATACGTATGTAAAAGAGTTTAACACATGCAAAAATAATGGTAAAAGTTTTTGATAAATAAGTAAAAAGTATTTGATAAATATCTGTTTCATTTGATCTTGCTTATAAATTATGCATATTTCTTATTCATTTTAATTCATTATTTCTTATAATTTTCTTGCATCAGTTACTGTTTTTACAAAAAATTTACTGAAAATAAGCACCCTGGGCCTAAATCTCAAAACGTATTACATATGATTAATATATTTTTGTTAAAAGATCATTACTGAAATTATCGAAAATACGCAAAAATTATTGAAACATGAAAGCGATTGCAACTCGCGGGAATGAACAAGAACCAATGTGTCGTGAAATGAAAAACAAATATTAAAAAATTTCAGACTCGATAAATCGAGAAGCGAGTAACGCATGTTGGGCTATGCGAAACCTGCGAAAGTAATTTCAGCCGCGGGCGATAAATATATTGTTCAGAAACAGCGCTCTTGATTATAGAAGCGTAATAACAGATTTAACCGTGACCGTGCCAGCGGAATCATCTTCCCCTAGAACAACAGTAGCGTATTTACATATTCAGAAGAGCAACATGATGGGAGCGAACACTTTATAGTCGCTGATTTTCCGGATCTTTAACTCGGCTGCGTAAAACGCCATGTGGATCATAGCCGATAAAAATATTCTCTTAGTACTCGTCGGCTCCAACTATCCCGTGTGCGATTCGCTGCTTTTGGCAAGCGCTTATTTTCCGCACGATCATCGTTCTCTAGGTGGAAAGAACTTTGAATAAGTCTAGAATCGTGCAGAGAGAGACAAGTTTTCGGTATACAATTGCATACCGTAGGGATTCGTTCGCATACATGCTAGCGCATGTAAAAAATAGATATTCAAAACACGAATAAAAATAAGTGAACTCATCGAATATTGCTAAATCTATATTATTTATATATATTTCATAATTTTTTAAACTTTTGGTTCTTTTCTTTGTGACTAATTGTAAGATTACCTATTACTATTGTAAGATTTTGTAAATATAGAAAAAATCAGGTTAACGTTGTTGACAAAGCGACTCATTTTTTCGTAATTAAAATTTCAGGTTTCTATAATAACTTATCAGAGAATCTTATATAGAGATGTTTTACAATATATATATATATATATATATATATATATATATATATATATATATAGGTATATATATATATATATATATGTTCGCGTTTACGTCCATACGTATTACCGTCGCAACTCGTTTCGTCGCTGCATCAAGGGGGTAACGGATATGGCGGGAATACGAACCGCCAGAACATTGAGTGAATTATTTATTCGGATGGAATTAAGTTTAAATATTTTATCCTCAGACTAATCTCACGGGCACAAGTGCGATTTATTTATGGGCATCTCGTCGACCTGCCAAGTCTACCAACTGCGTCTCGACAATATAAGCACGCGTGTGACAAAGTAGGGAAGTATAAAAGTTCTTGACGGAAGCCGGTCGGACCAGTTTGAGAGAAACGGATCACGATTGAAAATAAGACCGTCCATCTGCGGAAACGAATGATCGATATTGCGATATTTCATAGACGCATGCGAGTTTATCCGTGTATAGCAAAATTGTAGTAATATCGCTTTCAAATTAAACTGGGCCACGCAATTTAAATACATACATATTTGTCGTATGTTATAATATACGTCGGGTTATTTCAAATAGATGTAAAAATATGATAGAAGATATAGATCTACATATATAAAGTACGTGTAAACAGGAATATATATGATGGACAAATATTCATCGATGATATGACATGGAAAATGAACCGCAGTAAATATCGATCTGCAGTTGTAAAAATAGGCCGTTAAATAGAGAAATTGCGTACAAGAGAAGCGAGAAAAAATATCTAAAAGTTATATTTGTAGTGATTTTTATACTATTTTATTTACCTGAATTAGTGGTGATCAAGAGTTTAAGGCTTGACGCATAAGACGATCCGCCAATTTTTTCTCCTGCAAGTGACGCTGTTGCAAAGTTTCCAAATATGAGTCTTCGAGAACGTTATATGAAGCGAGCGACGAGCTGAAATTCGGCGTTTTCTCGAGCATTTCGACCTCTTGGGACGGCGATGTTTTACTCGGGACTGTGATGATTTCCTTTCCTTTCGGATATCTGACAGGACACTTTAAGACACTCTCTTGCATCGCGCAGTCCGTCTCAGGGATGCTTGAGTTTTCACGATCCTGAAATAAACGAGACAATGTTATCGACGATGATCTTGCCGCGCGACTTCTTTCAGTCTCTCCACTCCATTGCAGAGATACACGAATAATTGCACGGCGGAAAAGTCAGCTAGAGTATCCGAGAGTGAGGTTGCAAAAGAGCTCAATTTACCTTTGAGGCGGCAACGTCCCGATCCTTCAAAGGGGGCAAGAAACATTTTTGAGCGATGGCGCGTCTCGACTGTGAACACAAAGAGGATAAGTGCTCGCGGGACGAGTAGGTAAGTCACTTTGATCGAATAAATAGGAAGAAAAGGCGGAAGAATCAAATGATATTCACGGACTATGATTTTACACTTTGTCTGGCGCCGATAACCTTGAGTCTTTTCCAGCGGCAATGACATAAGCATCAAATTTTATTTTAAAAGTAACTAATAGAGATTCTGAACATATATATATAGAAATTTGGATATGAATATATATAATATTTTATTTCTGGAAATCACAAGTACTTCGACGAAATTAATTTTATTCTTTCTTAGAATAAAAGGAGCAATAAGAAGCAAAAGTTAAATTAAATTGTGCGAAAAATTAATAAACGAGACCGTTTAAATATAATTAATATTGCAGCTTCTCCTTCATCATAAAAAGATCGATATCAGCGAATAAGAGAGACGCGTATCGTATACAAGCATAGGAAATACGCTGCAAATGAAATTTGTCTATCGTAGTATGCGAATCACGAGACTACTTCTCCTTGCGAGAAGCATAGCATAGGTTTATCCACGTGCGCTACTATTCCCTCTCATTCGCTTCTCGTATCTTCAATTTCTGCCTATGCTTGTGGTCGTTGCGGTCCATAATAGTAGCTTTGTACGTATAATTGAATTTACATGCGGATAACAGCATTTCAAATGGGTCACTTCTATACGGTCACTCCTCGTCCGCTACGTGAACTTGACACATCAATCGCATCTTACATCTACGCAGTATGCGAATCTAATATAATAGTATAATGAGAGTTTTCGGCAACGAACAAATCATATGCAGAAAGATAGTAAAGATAGTAAAGATAGTAAAATAAAAATCGAACTCAGTAGTGATCTTCAAACTATAAAACAACAAATTAAACAATATTTTATGTGCATTATACATACAAACCATAATGTGTGAATGATAAATTAATCATTATAACATCGCAGAAATATTTTAATATAAGAATTTTATTCTATAATTTGTTTTTATTCTAAATTTGTTGGTAAAAAAATAATATATTAGAGCACCATGGATCAAATTTAATTTTTAATTTTATATATATATATATATATATATATATATATATATATAATATATAATATAAATATTGATAACATTAAATATTTTATGATGCAAAGTGCAACAAAAATCATAACGTAAATTGAAAAGAATATTGATGAAAAATAGCTGAATAATTATTTAATTAAATAAATAAATAAAAATAAGAAAAATAAATAAAAAAATATATACAACATATTTTACTAAGATTTTTTAATTTAAATTAATAAAAATATATTTTTACTTATTTTTAGATATTTATATATATTTTTTATCTACTCTTTTCCTAATTTATTTAATAATTTATTTTACAGCTACTTTTTATTAGCATCTTTTGATTTATTCTATGATTTTATTCTGTATAATAAAAGATTTAATTCAATTGATGTATGTCGTATCGAATTTTTGCTACACAAAGTTGTCAAAGTAATCATAAAATTTTAAAATATGTTTATCAAGAGTTAAATTTACTTTTTTATTTATTCAAATCACATAAAAAGATATTTTGTATCTAATTTAGTACTATTTATTAAAGCGTAAGAAACGTGAACAAACGTTGCCAGTATACGTTCATTAACGGAGCTTCCAATAAATGTTAAAACAATATTGTGAATTGCCTCTACAGCCTTGATCAAGATAGGGTATTTGCATGAGGAAATTGGACGGATTCTGTGCGTTTACATCATTCTCGCGTTTGCGAATCGAAAGCAACGCAAATTTGTTTATTATTTTTATAATACGCGAAATATAAACGTTCATTATTTTTACAATACGCGAAATATATATATATATATATATATATATATATATATATAAAAGAAATCTTGATGTATAATACTATATATCGTCTATTTGCGAGTCATTGTGACGTAAAATTTCCATAATATTTATAATTTGCAAAGTTTAAGTAAAAGGTATTCCTTAACGTAAAGAACAATACCATCATGATGATACTGTCGTGAACACACACTAGATTCTTCCGGCGTTAGATCGGCCAAGTGGAAACACACGTAGTAGCAACCACGGCACGGTGTTCCACGCGAATAATCGTTAAGCTCGAACCTTTGTAATCTCGCGAGATCAGATCGTGAGCGCGTTCCCGGTTGAAATGGAATAATTGAATACAAGTTGCCAAAGTGCAATTGACTTAGCCGTGGCCGATACGAAACTAAGTTATTCTCGGAATTGTATCTAGGGAATGGAGCGCGCGAATGGAGGATACGACCCGACGGAATTTCATTCTACCGTTATGAATATTTTGTCTCGCAATGAGACTCCCTCCGCCGTGCGTTCCAAACATCTTTCATCTTGCGGATCGCAACGCCTCTTTTCTAACGTATCCATCTCCTTGACGTATAATAAATTTCATTTGTAAATATATCGAAACGTGCCAGCGGGTAAATTGAAAATATATATATCAGATTAAAACAAATTATAAATTAAAAATATAACAAATCTGTAAATAGTAAAATCATATATATCTTGATAAATATTTTACTAAATCATAAGATGACTACTAATTCAATAGTGGCTATATTCCTCCGATTCGTTGCGAATTCGTTACGAATAATAAAATTGGCTTTCATTTTCGATCTGCCAATATAAATTATTGTTATCCATTCGTTACGACTCAACTGATCTCGCGAATAAATAAATAATTTAAATTTTATAGTTGGGTCGCTGTCGCGCACAATTAAATGAGAAATTGATATGACAGCGAAAGCAAATGGGTAATGACGAGCGTCAGAACAAGATACGCTGCTGGAAGGAGGAAGGTGGAATGAGCGACGAGATAGAATATAAAAGGGGAGAGAGAAAAGAAAAACGTGGTCTCGGCATTGTTAACGTGGAACGGTACGTACGTAATTAATTTCATTTATAAATCTTGCGGCCGGTCATTACGAGGCTTGACTTTCACGAGTGCGTCGGGTAAAACGAGCTAGTGCCCGTCAGCAATGCCTCTTTTGCATCCTCTAATTGGCAATTAAATATCGACCGTAACGGAACCGAATGCCATCGATGCTAATTTATCAAGCACAAACTGCGATTTTTGCCTCGTCCATTATTTTTTTCCGACATTATATTCCACTGGATGGCCGTCAACGTGATCGTGCTTAGCGATTCGTCGCGTGAAGCTGGAAAGCGAACTTTTGCAAAAACGTAATTACGGATTCTCAGATATGTACGGATATCGAATGGAATTTTCTGAATCTTGTTTTCGATAATGTTCGCGAATTCCTCCGGATAGAGTGCATACATTGTCGGGCACGAAATAAAATGCCTATTCCAACTGTTACGCGATCATGAATGAAGATTCGACATTTTGTGTTTAAAAGACGAATACGTGCGCTATACTCAGCTGCGTAAAGACATTTCTATATTGATTCATATTACTTTTGTTTAGAATTCTTTCTCACATACAAATCTTGAATAAATAACTAAATAAATAATATAATACATATGAGATAAAAGGAACACACGGAATATATAACATATTTCATTTAAAATTAATTTTAGAATTATTTGTACTTCTTTTTGGATTAATTTGTGAGATATATAAAAGTCTATCTAAAGAGGAAATTAAATAATAAAGAGTTTATCTGAAGAGGAAATTAAATAATAAAGAGTCAAATGAAATAAAAAATTCAGCTTCACTACCTTCGAAAAAATAGCACAACGACTTAGTTCCGTATAAACTTGAGAGCAATGTACATTTGGCGAGAATATGTGAGAATGGCATAGTTGTCAAATGTTATCAATTTAGCCCTTCATGCCTAAGGTAAAATTCGCGAGCGGTAATCCATCGAAACACACGGATGTATCTCGTACCTTGAGTCTTCTCGTTCGTTGCAGTATCTGCTCACGATTGCGCGCGCTAACCGAGTCTCCGTACGATCTCCGGCGCATCAGCCATTCTCTCTGCAACAACAAACAATCCCTGAAGCTACTACTACTACTACCATCACTATTGTTACTACTACTACTACTACTACTATTGCTACTACCACTTCTACTACTACTACTACCAGTTTGGTCCAGTGAAACTTTCAACCTAAACACGTCGCCGCGCTACGTCTGACTAAAGGCTTTATTTACTTTTTGCGAGAGTTTAGCGCGACGGGGGGATAACCTCTACGACTAGCGCGCATACGTCTGCACTTGTATATATGCGAGAGTATACTGGCGGCCGCAAATTTGCGGACAGATGTGGTTGTAGATTGCTGTTTGCCATGAAGAGGCGTACGTCGACGAAGGTGCGAGTAAACATGACATACGAGTAATATCTTTCTAGATATAACGAAGCTGAGTGTAATACCGATATATGTATATATATATATATATATATATATATATATATATGTGTGTGTGTGTGTATGTATGTTATTTATGCGTTTTCTACAAATTCCTATAATATTTCATAAATCTTATATAGTAATATAAATTTAAATATTCCATTGGATACAGCAAATAATATTAAAAGCTTCTAATATATTATTCAATAACATTAATCCATATTTATTTAATATTAAATGGATGGCGCGATGCTTGTTCAAGTATCAAAAATTTGTGTTGATATATTTAAAGCGAGAGCGTTAAATATTAATTTAATCTATTAGTACTTGACTCAAAAAAATTTATTAAACAGAAAAATTTCCGAAATATGTAAAAAGTATTTTTAAATGTAAAGAATTTATTATTTTCAAATAATAAAAGTGGTAAAAATCTCGGAAATTACAATGAACACAAACATTCACGTTTGATTGATTCTAACTCGTCATTTACACAAGAAGAAACAGATCGATGATGTAATATATATTTGCAAAGGAAATTTCATGATTATGAAAACCATACGTGATTCTAAACAAAAATTAAATATTTCTCTTTGTAACTGCAAACTATATCATGCTTGTCTTTGTAATTGCAAACTATATCATGCGAGTCTTGGAACAGTGAGGTCGATCGAACGAGTTGCATCGAAAATCGAGCTGCCAAGTCGACTCGAATCCGATACAAAGTAGATTATGCAAATGCTCATCGAACGAAGTCGATGACGAAGAAACCGGCAAAGAGGTTGAAGATGAGACAGCACAAAAGAAACGTAGAACGGGATAAACCGAATCGTGGGAAACGGAAGAAAAGATAAAGCTGGCGATCGAAAAATAGATGGAAGGAGAGAGAAAGAATCCCATCACACGAAGACGAGAAAAAATCACATTTAACAGAAGGAACAGATCAGTCATAATAAATTTAACAGTGGCTTCCTTAAAAAATAGATCCAAGGAATGAATTTCGTATTTTTTCACTTAAGCATATATCGAATCTTTTTGTCTAATATATTTAATATAACTATACCATAAATAATAATTGAAAATCTCTATTCTCTTATTACTGTCGTATAAAATAGTATGATTATTAAAATATCAGCACAAATTTTTGATGCTTGAATAAATATGTTACCTATTAGTATTAAATAAACACGAAATTGTGTATTGAATAATATATTAGAAGTTTTTAATATTTTTTGTATTCAAAAATTATATTATTATACAAGACTTATTAAAAGATATCATAATTAATCTACTATCATAATCTTATTATATCATAATTAAATCATCATATTGATTTTATAATTTGATTATAATAATTTAGTAAACAGTATAAATAATTATATGTATAATAAATATGTATATGTATTAAATATGTATATGTATACATGCGCGCACATGTATATATAATTATGGAAAGCATAATAAAATATTAAAAAATCATATTTTATGTTAAATATAATATTTTACAACGTAATCTGTATAATTACAAATTAAAATAATTGCTTACTGAATGATCACATATTTATGGATTTATTTTAAAATTTAGTAATATCTGATTGGAAGTATTTTTTTTATTGGTGATACAATATTAAGGATCCAAACTAACATCATGTGTAATTGACCATAACATCTCTTAAATGAATCGATATAATTATAGATATTCTGTCAGTGTCCCTTTAGCCATCACTGTCATCCGCTGACATTTCGTCGGCTTACTCTCGTCGACGTTTCATTTAAACTGTCCATGACGGCAATGTCAGCGGCGGCAGTGATGGCGGCGACTTCGTCGGGAACAAATTTGCCCCCGTATATTGCTGTACTTATCTGCTCCGGTACCCGGGCGTACCCAGTAATCCCGGATAATAGCCTGCGAGTGTACAACGAGCGCGCGCGCGCTTATATAAGAAACACCCGGATAAAAGTCCCTCCGGGTCTTCTCTCCACGGCGTTCGCCGTTAGAGCGGAAATTCCTGTTCGCCTGTACTTGGATCTGGTATCGGCGAAGTTCGATTGCGCAATTGAAGCTTTTTACGGCTTTACGTGTCGCGGTTCTCTATAGCGTCTAATTGCGGATAACGTATTGCTATGACGCCGCCCTTTTGCGAGATGCCTTCCTATAGCACATCTTATACTTTCGCGTGATAGGATTTCTTGTCTTATTTGATGTCGATTTTTAATCAGAAGATTTATATTCAGATGTACTTTTTATTTTATATAAATCTTTGCGATAAAATATGGATTTAAAAATCCTAAAGTAAAGTGCAATTTAAGTTAAATAAACAATTAACTATTGTTAACTATTCTTATCTTCAATGCTTTTAATCTATATGTAATAGCATAATATTTATGAAATTTATTAATCCATACTATTAATTATAGTTAATATATTGTATTTGATAAAATATTTTTCATATATTTAATGAAATTTTTTGATTTGATTCTTCAAAAGAAAAAACAAAAGAAAAATTTAAATTTAATTTAATTTAGAAGATACTCTATAAGATGTATCAATTTTATAATAAATTCTACGTGGTATGAGTTTTTAAAAAATATATATTAAATTAAAGTAACTTGTATGATTGACGGGCGGCAAATGTGTATGCACGCTAAACGAGTTTTATCGTCGCTCGCGGCACTTAGAGAAGGAAACCTCGTCCTTGCTCATCCAACGGAGGTGAAACACCTTGAAACTTTTTACCGTGAACCCACCATCTCCGCCCGCGGCTCCAGGAAACGATGTTGGGGGACCCTCGTGATGCAGTAACGAAGCATTTCCGCTTGCCCCGAGGCGCGCTTAAAGAGAAAGGGTTTCCGACGTTCCGAGAGGGTGAGTTGATGGCTGCTCCCGTGAAGCCACGTGAAATTTTAATTTCCAATCTGCTAAAATTGTTCCCGCGAAAACGGTACAACGCGACGGAGCGTAACTCTCGGATTCCTTTTCTTTCAGACACGCGCAAACGAATACACCGGTATCGGTCCACGACCAGATGTTGCATGGTGTATGAGAAAGGCTCTCGCGTACCGTAAACCCTCTATTGCATTTCGCCAGCCGCGATAGAGAAACCATAAAAAATTTACAGATCGCTCACCCTCGCCGAACCGCTCAAAGATTGCGAGAATTTACTGCATCTTCCGACTATGAGGATGGCATATTTTCTATCGCGCACCTGCCGTCTCGTACAGAATTTTACGATTTTGATGATTCGAAAACCGAAGAATATCGACTAGTGCAATTATAAAATATCATATTTTATGAATCTAGATATCATTAGAATTGCTTATGTTTTATTTACTGCATATTTAATTTACGAAATTTGTATCATTCGCGAATTACCAGAAATATGGACCTTTTTAGAAAATATTATACATATTAAAGTCCTTGCTATATTGCTATCGTTACTTGTAATAAATAAATAGTAATATTTGTGCGATTATTGACGATTTTGAGAAATCTATTTAGAGGATTTAGAAATATACTGAAAAAGACTACTATAAATAAAAAATAAATACACTGTAGCAATAAAATGTAGGTGAACCGTGTGAATATCACACATAAAGAGAAACAATATATGCGAGAAAAAAAGTATAATTCCGAATTAATAAAATATGAGAAAAAAAATTCATGAAAAATATTTCAGAGATTTCATTAAAATTTTAATAATTTACTAACTGTAATATGAAATAACGAGAGCGACAATTTAATTATTAAAACAGACATATATAAATTTTGGCTTTTACACTGAAGTGTGATTATCGCGATTAATGGATTAAAGTAATTTCCAAATTAAATTTTCGGCGATAAACTGCGTGACGTACTTCTTCCGCGCGCATCCTTCAGACAAATGGACGAGGAGAATTCACGATGCTCATCACCGTACACGTACATGATTGCTAGGAATACAATTCGTCGTATGCAGCCTCTAATTCAATATTGCGTATTCGCGCCGAGAAAATAGGAAATAGACGCCAACGAAAATAGCACGCCCGAGCTCGAGAACAAGAGTCGCGTATTTATTAAATTGAAGTTACGAAGCCGTGCTCGTTGTCGAGGTAACTCCTTCGTGGAGAAGTGCTACGTCTTCCGTGAAAGTGTTAACTGCGACGTCGGGTCCTCGCAAATACGACACGACAGAGTTTTCTTCGCCTCGCTTATCCGGCGACAGAAACCTCTCTTATAGCAACTTATGAACGGGCTAGCTTCGCGCGATAAAGTTCCCATTTTTCGAATCGAGCTTCTATTTCACGTCAAAAAAACTTCTCACGTCCGTTTTTCCATGTTATTCAACTGAATCCATTCAAATTGATCCCTTACTATACGGTCAATATTCGACATAGATGTGTTTTACTCTTTACTTTTCTGTCAAAGTTGTCCATAGAAGTTTCGCACGCGAAACACTGAGCTACATTGAGCAACGAGTTGCATCAACGATGAGCATCGATGATGCCGAAGAATTAATCGAATTATCGCATTAATCGAATCACGGTTACGTTCCTACCGTAACACGTGTAACTTCGTCGGGCCAAGAGAACGTTGTTTATTAACGTACGTACTCTCGGTACGATCCAGTCCGTAACGTAATTACCTCACATCGAGGACACTAACAGCGAAGACGCAGCAATAAACATCTAGCGAGATAAAAGGATAAGGATAAAAGAAACGCGGGCGAAGATAAATTTCGCGATAAAAGCACAAGCGAACTCGGCACGCCAAGTTTTAATGACATTCTCGAGTAATATAAAATACTTTTATACTCATTATCAAGAGAGCAATATAGAAAACGTGAATTATCGAAGCGAGGAAACTTTCCTTGTCCCGGAAACTTTGATCGAACGCGCGGGCGACAGATAAGTTTTCGGAAATGAGAATTGCGTGCCGTGCCTCTAAATCTCGCTTCAACAATCTGATCCCGATTTTCTATCTGTAGATAGAGAAACGTCGGAGAAATATCGCGCATTTCAAGCATGTCAGAATTCTGTGTAACCGTAACTTATAATGTATAACGAAAAATGAACTATCAAGAACATATTTTTTTTCCTATGTCAAATATAATAATATATATAATTGCGCGAATCAAATATATTTGTATTTTATATATTCTCGCAATATCTCTTTTATTATATTATTTTATAATTTTGTTATATATGTATCTATTATATTATATATTATATATTTCATTTTTCTGTTGCTCAACTAGTATTTGCTCTGAATTAATAACAATAATAAAGATAATAATAAATCGGATAATGATGAAAATTATTATTATTATTATTATTATTTCATAAAAACGTGTGTACCTTTGCTTGTATCTCATCCTTATCAGGACCCAGGGATCGATCAGGTCTTGGCATCGATAGACTCCTATATTCTTCGATGGTATACGGACGATATCCCGGTTTCTGGGACTTGTCCGAGCCACTATGTTCGCATTGCTCTTCTGGAAAGGAACGTATTCCTCGATGCGGTATCTCGCAGGATCGTGTAGAATGCGTACAAGTAACGTGACCTTCGATAAAGCGACGATAGAAGCTGAGCTCGCTACTGTCGTCCCTTGAGGTGCCTGGAAGGGATGAACAACCCTCGTCCAGACTGAGCTCCCTGGGCTGGCTGTCACCGCAAATCGACAGGGTGGAATCCTCCGGAGACCGAATGCGCGGACGCCTTTGGATGCCTGAGAATAAAAAGAAAATGGTAAATTTTAACTTTTCATATCAATAAAAGACACGCGGGAAACATTGCCGAAATTAGCTTTTATGAATATAACGGTGAACAATCATTCACATGAAAACGGCTGTATGCACCAAATACTTTGATTTATTTAATTATGAATTATGTTCTTTATTCATTGGTACAGACAGAAGAATGGATTTCATGCGAGAAGGAAAAGTGACATGAAAAGCGGCGGCCAGTGACATGAGAAATGACGCTATCGACTTTTCGAGATAGGAGCGGCTTTTTGTTGAAGAGAATAATGCTTGAAAAGTTCGCACGTCATACCTCTATAAGATGACAGAACTTTTAAATGCAAAGGTAAGAGGGATTATAATGTTAACTGTTGTCTATCAAATCTTATTCTATAATCGGTTGAGAAATGTGCCACGTGAATTACATTTTCATAAATGCAATACTAAATTATAATTTTAATCTTGATAACTTAGAAAATCTTAGTTAATCTCTTTCTAATCTATTTTATTTTATTTAAATCAAAAATACAAATATATATATATATATATATATATATATATATATATATGAAATTAATTTATTTTTTTAAAGAAAGAGAATATGCATCTCTTGTAAATAATTATTTAAATAATTATTTAATATGATCTGTGTATCTTTTTTGTATATGAAACAATTTTATTTTTATAATCGAAGAATATGTTTATACATCGTAAAAAACATAACTGGATAATACAATTTTGGGAAGTTCCATATATTTTATACAAAACGAAGGTTAATATCTTTCATCATATAACTTTGCTATACCATAATATATAGAAACTGTGATAACTATGCCTACATTATGTCGCGATGGAATCTCTTTCGTGGTGGATTTCTCACGCAAATTTCATGCCTTGACAATGAGAGAGAGAGAGAGAGAGAGAGAGAGAGAGAGAGAGAGAGAGTGTGTGTGTGTGTGTGTGTGTGTGTGTGTGTGTGTGTGTGTGTGTGTGTGTGTGTGTGTGTGGTGAGAGAGAGAGAGAGAGAGAGAGAGAGAGAGAGAGAGAGAGAGAGAGAGATAAAATCCAGAGATTTAGATAAAATCCAAATATATTTAATATTCCTGATTGTGTAGACATTAGCTTTACGCTTAATCGAAATTCATGTATACGGCAGACGGAAATTTTTATTTCCAATAAAAATGAAAAGTTCCACGAACTACACAAAAAGATTTCTTTTTCTGAATAGAGAAAAGAAAAATTTTGCACATTTGCATTTATAAACCTATAATTGCTTTGAGCATAAAAATAATTCTATTTAAAAGTTTACTTTAGGAAAAAGAGATAAATCGTGGAGATAAATCTTTTACAATGCATTTCTGAAATGATGATTTTAATCTTTGTATTCATAAAAGTACTTTTGAAAATACTTTTGAATTGGTACATTTGTCGGCATACTTCTCATAAAAGAACTCAAAAGAGATGTAGCTGATATACGAATCCTGTTGGCCTCTCACTTTCGCAATTTAAAAATCTAGCCACTTTAGAAAAGAGAATGACAACGTCAAGTTATCCAACGAGACTCATTCGCCGGATTGAGAATCTTCCCTCGTCCCTTCCACTCAGTCTCTTCCAGCGGCGCGAACACACCCCGCTTCTAATCACGAAAGAAAGTAAATGTCCTCAGGGAAAATTGCATCGTTTCATGTCATTCTTTTTTATCGGGACCGCCGACGGCGGTGAAAAGATGGTGGAGGAGACGGAATTGGCGGCGCATTTCGGCATTATTCCACGTGAAGGAGAAATCTCATCTGATTAGGGACTAACTGAATCTACGACGATAAAGCTCCGAATACGAGGTCCAACCAGGCTTAGCCAGTTCTGGTCGACATGGTACGAATGCGTTACCAAGCTTTTTGTCGATCTTTGCATTACTCCCGTTGCTGCGCAGGTTACATTTTGACGAAGAATTTTGCGCCTCCGGGGAATATCGCTCCGTCGACATATGACAACAACGACGATTCGCGTCATCTTTTTCTTTTTCACCTTTCCCAACGACATTGTTCCCCTTTCTTATACGAAGCCGCGATTCGTTCCACGTCGCGTTGCTCTCCTGTCGTCGTCGGACGAATCTTCTTCCACTCGTAGTTATCGAATTTCTGCCGCCAGTTATTCTCGCGTACCTGTCCTCACGTACGGTCCCATTGGATTCTGTCGTATTGTCTAAAATGTTATCAGAACATGAAATTAGATATAGTATTTTCTACATATCGAAGCTGCGTTTGCATAAAATCTAAATAAGTTAGCATATATATAATAAATATTAATAAATAGAAAGGATCATTGGAAGTAATGTAATCGACCAAAACTAGCCAGAATTTTTGTTTATTAATTACGACATTTCGATCATATGATTGTGGTCCTTTTCAAGTATATAAAAAGATAGATATAAAGCATAGTATTGTAAACTATAAAGGTAATTAATAACAAATTCTAGTTTTGATCGACTACATTACTTCCAATAATCCTTTGATTAATTGACTAGCGATATTAAGATAATTTATGAATAAATAGAAAATTATACGAGTGTACGTTACACATTATAAGATGTCAATGTATACTAGTTATAAAGAGAGAAGAGATGCAAACTTATTTAAATTTTATATTATGCAGCTTCCACACACACATGTGTAGTAAATACTATATCTAATCTCATGTTCTGATAACATATAGACAATATATGTATAATGAATATACTAACCAATAGAAAATTATACGAGAGATATTACATATTACATCATCACCACATATTACATTGTCCACGTTATCATTACATTATGCATTACTTGCATCTAAATAACATCAATTTATGCAACAGCAATAAGTGGTATGGCCTGTTCTGTGTGTGTGTATGTGTGTGTTAATGTTTAACATTGATTTATTACTTAAAGTTTCCAACATTTTTTCCGGAACATAATAAAATCACTCTTATCCTATCCATTCTTCCTGCTAGGATCGATAAGCGAGTTTTCTTGCCATTCGTGTTACACCCCCGCGCTCTGCCTTATTCCGTCTAACTTTGCTCGTCGCTTTAATTATCCCGCGGAGTTTTACATTACCACGAACGACCACGAGTCTCGACCAGAGATATTACGTTTTATATTATATAATTAGTACTGTCGTTAACGAGGCGATCGATCGCCTTCAGTTCTGCGTTCGCTTCGGTTCCGAGCTCCCAAACTGCCGTCGAACTTTCGATCGATTTCCCGACGACCGCTGGTAAGTCAACTACTATGCGCTGATCATTAATTAATTAGCACACGATATCCGGGAACTCGCTCATTCGTCCGCAAAAGCCGCGGCTTTCCAGGTTATGGGAAATCGAATTGCATTACGCAGAGCATCGTTTTATCATTTTGCAACGCTGTTGTCTTTTTATTATTTGTAATACACACACACGCACGTACGCATATACGTGTACAATTATCTTTTGCTAATGAAAAGAAAAAAAATATTTATCCAATAAAATATGGAAAAGTAAAATTTTTTAATCTCGTATATACATACACACACACACACACACACACACACACACACACACACATATATATATATATATATATATATATATATATGTATATATGTATATATTACTTTTTAGAAATTTTGGAAAATTAAAAAGTATTTAAAAAATTTTTCATGTTTTTTTCTCTTTTATATCTAAATTTATTATATATGTTACATCATACATCATAAATTCTTCCTATTTTTAAAATTTATAATAATTAATTCAGCATACATAATCTCACAAAAATAATGGAAAAGTTCTTTCAAAAATATATTAATATACTTTATTGCATTGCACAGCTATTCTTATTATAAAATTCATCTTTCGCGAACTCGAATCTACAAAACTAGTTTTATATCTTTCATACCTTTTATTTCAATGTCGTTATGCCTTTTATGCAATGTCGTTAATATTGGATTTATATGAAATGAAACGTCCTTGACAAATGTATCAGCAGATGAGGATTTGATTGCTATGAGATTATTATCATTATCATTCTCATTCTTATCATTATTCATCAAGATACTCTTCTCCAATGAATCTCCCTCAATATTATCCAAAGAGTCCAAGGAATACTTCGACATTTTTATGAAATTTTCATTTAGCACGAAAAAATGTTAATAAACACACTGTATAACATATATGCATTGACATTTGATAATGTCAATGATGATGTCAATGTCATGTACGATGTACGATATGAAATTAATCTTAACTAATCAGTAATCTTAACTGATTTCTATTTTTCGTGTGGCAAACTTCGCACTTTTTTCTATTCATGATATAGAACATATAATAAATCATATGTATAAAATATGCATAGACTTATAGAAAAAAATTAATTAATTAATTAATTTTAGATCGATATTTCAACAATTGTTCAAAAATTAATAATTTTTAAATAATTTTTGAAATATCAATCTAAAATTGCATATACAGGTTGAACTTGAGCAGAACTATCGGGAACTCTTATTAAAAATAATAATATTCAACATGTTTTGATAATTCAGAGGTAAGGATGTTCTAGAATCCCGAAGTTAGCACATTTTTTCGATTTCGATTTTTTAATATAAGGAATGCAGAATTCTTCTTAATTTTTATCAGGAACTGTAGAACTGAAAAGTGCTATCAGAACTCTTAATATTTTCTTGAAATTCGTAGATTGTAGAGGGCTAGCTTCACAGACACATTATCTTCTTATATATATTTCTTTTGCCTTATTTTATATGTTTATTAAAAGCAAGTTTAAAAATTTGTTAGGTTCCTGTTTTATATTCTATGTCATAGCAATCATAAATATTTATTAAGATACATTAGAAATCAGTTAATTTATTAACTTATTAATTAAAAATTTAAGCTCGTTTGGCAATAGTATCACATCATCTAAACAATATATTTATTATATAATGTTATTTTTATGCATTATACAGAAATAAATTATGAGAAATCGATTTAAATTAAAGTAAATCGGTAAAATAAATACTCTTAATAATGATTAAATTCCAAATTAACTTTGTGTTACATATGTTCTATTAATTATCATTACCAATTATCATTATCTATATTTTACAAACTATTTTAGTAACTGTTGGCTATATATCAGCTGCTAACATATAAAAGACCGACAGATATATATGATATCTTATCATCTGCTGCTAACTTTTAGAATCCTTCTTTTCTCACTTTCTTTTTCTTTTTTTATTATATAGATATATTTTTATTTCATTTTTTTGTTTAAAATTTTATTTAATAAGTTGGACGATTTAATATGATGCATAATCATATAAATAACATATAAATATAAATATCTAAAAAATACTAAATAAATTCTCGTATTTCCAAACCTCATAAAAAAATGTAGAATTTGTTCTTACATGTGTTTTGATGATCTCAAAATTCAAATCTAACATAATTATATTATGATTTTTAATTAATAATATAAAATAATTTTTGGTTTTATAATGGCCAATTATTTAGTTATGTTAGATTTGAATTTTGAGATCATCAAAACACAGGTAAGAACAAATTCTACATTTTTTTATGAGATTTGGAAATGCGATAATTTATTTAGTATTTTTTATATATTTATATGTTATTTATATGATTATGCATCATATTAAATCGTCCAACTTATTAAATAAAATTTTAAACAAAAAAATGAAATAAAAATATATCTATATAATAAAAAAAGAAAGAGAAATATATATATATGTGTGTGTGTGTGTGTGTGTGTGTGTGTGTGTGTGTGTGTGTGTGCGTGCGTGCGTGCGTGCGTGCGTGCGTGCGTGCGTGCGTGCGTGCGTGTGTGTGTGTGTGTGTGTGTGTGTGTGTGTGTGTGTGTGTGTGTGTGTGGTGTGTGTGTGTGTGTGTGTGGTGTGTGTGTGTGTGTGTGTGTGTGTGTGTGTGTGTGTGTGTGTGTGTGTGTGTGTGTGTGTGTGTGTGTGTGTGTGTGTGTGTGTGTGTGTGTGGTGTGTGTGTGTGTGGTGTGTGTGTGTGTGTGTGTGTGTGTGTGTGTGTGTGTGTGTGTGTAATGACCAATATAGAAAGAAACGTTGAATTGCCAATGATTGATATAAACAATAATAAATATGAAAAAGGCACATTTACATCATTCATATATATCGTGTCTATTATATAACTTTATCATATAAAAAATTTCTATCAGCGTCGTTATCAGGTTAATAAGATTATATTTAATCGTATAAGAAGTACAGAAGTTTTCGTCAAGAGCATTTTACTGCAGGAGCACTGCTAACGTAAGTCACAGACTTTATCGTTCATAAAGCGACCAAACATAACACATACCTATTATAAGCTAATGTATTATTGTATCATCACATAAAGCTCTGTCATATATATATGTATGTATATTAGAACTACTAAAAGCGTTTCAAGGCGACTCCCTCTGCAGTGTGTTGCTTGATTTTATAGTCGTTTGATCACGTCGGAAGAATGTTTTGCTACGTTCAGCATGGGTGAATCTAGTATTTATCTCATTGATTCATAAGGGGGCATAATAAATATATTTCAACAAATATTACACAACAGTTTTCAAAAAACATAATATATTGCCAATAATTATTTCTTTGGACCGTATTTCTGTGCCGTTGAAAACATAATGCGTCATTGCAAACTGGTTTATCAGTTTATCAGTTTCTCTCTCATTTTTACGTATAATAATTAATTCTAGTAAAAACATATCTTGTGCCCATGTATTCTTTTTATATTTATATAATATAAAACTTTGCAAATATCCAAATTTGAATTTTATTAATAATATAATTATGTGTGTATATAAATAATATGAATGTACTTTATGTATGCATATATGTGTGTATAATTGTTTATGTCTGTTATCAAAATGAGAAAATATGGAAATATTACGCGTAATAGAAACTTTTAAAAAATAATTCAATATAATGATTCAATATAATAAGATGTTACGGATTTCTGTTTCACTTTTCTTATCTTACGGTTTGCAATCAAATAATTTATCAAAAAATTTAATTAATTTGTGCAATTAAATTCTCGTACGATTGAAACAAAAAGATTTAATTATAATTTGTTTGGAATAATGAATATTTGTTTGGAAAATTATGAATAAATTTTATTTAATTATGATATATTTGTTACGATTCATAAAGCTAATTAGATAGATAATCAAATACAATGATGAAAGTTTCAAAATAGTATACAATTCTTAGCAAATATTGATTTGTGTTTCTACTCAGACAAATAATTTCTAGTTGATAACGTTTACTGTAAATTTTTGACATTGTTAATATTAAACTTGCAAATATTATACTGGTTAAATTTTCTGACATTGTAAATATTAAAAAATTATAATTATATTTACAATATATGTATCATAATAAAGATATAATTTATAGTAATTTTGGATTCGATTTACTAATAATATTTTTATCAATAAAAATGTAAATTGTAAATTTAATATTTCAAGATAGTGATTTAAAACATCATCTTAGATACATACATTTTTTTTCATGAAATAAGAAAAAAGTGACAATGTTAAAGTATTTTCAATGGTTAAATGACTTGAGAGCAACTATCACGGTTCTGCTGAATAATCTTCGCTATTTTTATGGAAGTCATCGAAGTTTATGACATAGATACTTTATTAATAATTGAGGATGCAAATATCAGATTTTTATACATACAAATATGTCTGTTATACAATATATAAATACTGCTTACAATTTTTTTATGATATTTCGATTATTTATATCGATGTCGCCCCTCCCCCCCCTCTCTCTCTCGCTCAATTTATATACATTCCTCACATTTTATAAACTTAATATATTTATAAGGTATAGTAATAAATAATGTAATTAAGAAGAAATTAATGGAATGAGACTAAAAGACTACTAAAAAATTCTTCAATATTCAATATTTTGCTAATATTTTATTATCAAATTTATTGCAAATTTATTTATCATAAATCTAGAATTCATCACATTTTTCTCCTTTTTTATGTATATGTATAGCTATGTAAAAAATATATAGAAATCTATACATAAAAATAAAAGTCTTTGAAACACTATTTCTCTACGCGAATTAAAGTATATATCTGTATATGTTTTCTATATTTTATCCAGATTTAACTCGATTCACATTACATCAGCAATTGTCAAACATTAAATTATTAAGAGAATACATTTGAAACAATAATTATCCCTATATGCTTACTCATGCATTATCAATAACATCAATAACAACTATTCGATACATAAGTGCACTAAATACATCAAGAGCATTTATCATTTAGATATCATATGTGAATACTTCCATCTAAATGTAAATATTCTGTTACTAAATCATATGTGTGTAAACAGTTTTAAAAAATTTTATTTTAATAGCCATTAAAAATAAAAATTAAAAACTTATAAAATTTGTATAAAATAATAATAAGATATATATATATATATATATATATATATATGTATGTATGTGTATGTATGTGTATGTATTGCTATATAAATTTGTTGAATTTTGTAAAATTTTTGCAAAAAAATATTTATTTTTTATTTCAAATATTTTTTTAAAAAGTGTAAAATATAAATTAATATTTATTTTATATTTTTCATTTCTAATACATATATTTATATTAAAATAATTTACATATATGCATGCATGTCTTTGTGTGTGTGTAAGTTATTCTAATATAAATATATGTATTAGAAATAAAATATATAAAATAAATATTAATTTATATTTTACACTGTTTTATATATATATATATATGAAACAGTGTAAAATATAAATTAATATTTATATTTTACACTATTTTACATATTTATATATTTAAAAGTAGCAAATATTATGCTCAATCTTGTTGTCTGTAAAAGAGATTCTAATTTTGCTATTTTTATCTTTTTCAGACATTATTTTGCAATACTGTACAGGGAAAATGTTATATATTAATGTCGCTGTTTGCCTATCAATTCTTCTGTTTGTGATTGGATTATCCGTAGGATTGAGCGTGAACACCTTTAAAGGACGTGACGCTCTCGATTCGGCACCTCTTATTGATGGGTAATATAATCATATAATTGAGAAATAGTGCATATAAGAATACATATAAGGAAACGAATGACTACAATCTATTTTTATTTCATCGATATCATATTTAAAAGCGACATTGATTGTTGATAAATCAATTAATATTCATTGATATTCAAACTAATAGTTACATCAATCGATCATTAATTAGATTGAATGGTCAAATTAGATATCTTCAGCTTAATCGATAGATTTATTCTTTTGTGCTAATATTTTCCAATTATTCCAATCTTTTTATACATTTTGTTTCATATATTGTTACAATAAACATCGTATCATTATTTTAAAATAATATCAAGTTTTCTTGTAAAATATAAATAAACAAACAATGAAGATTAGTTTTACTTCACGTTTTTATTACATTTGCATTCTGTTTTTTCTTTTTTGATTAATTAAATATATATTTATCTCCAATCTCTCATTATGTTCATAGCCATAACGATTTACCATACAATTTGTATCAAATCTTGAGCAACAACTTATCAGCCTTCCATTTCGAAAATGATTTGAGGAATGACAGTGTCTGGGGAAGAAACGCTTGTTTGTCATGTTTCACTGATATACCCCGCTTAAAGGCAGGAAAAGTGGGTGGACAAGTAAGTCATGATATATCTTGCATATAAGATTATATAAGATTAATTATCTCCAGGAATTTCGCAACCTATTTATTTTACAATTTATAGAGCATTTCATCTTGAATTCATTTTGTCACATTCTACAAGAAATTATATGTTTCATTATTATTTATATCTCTTATGTTTCTTTTATTGTTATTTTATTTTTCACTGAGCGCCACATAAAAAGACTGTTTTATCTGAATTTTTTTTAAAAACTTCATTTTGAGAGAACTTCATTTCACAAGATTTTCCAGATAAGCTTATCTTATTTATTTTTTTACGCAATAACGCAATTTTTAGTTCTGGGTGGCATACACATCATGTGAATCGCAATATAAGGATTCTGTAACGTTAACGTTACGTCAGATTGATGTAATCAAGAGATTAATTCAGCGATATCCAGCCAACTTACAACTGGTCACTGCCGCGGCGGACATTGAGACCACATGGAGGAATGGCAAAATAGCATCTATGATAGCTGTCGAAGGCGGTCATTCACTAGATTCGAGTTTGGCAATCTTAAGACTCTATTATGATCTCGGAGTTCGTTATGTCACCCTGACACATACCTGCAATACACCGTGGTACGTCATTGTAAGCGTTGTAAACCGAATTCGGTGGAATCTTTCGCGATCACTTATCGCGATTGAATCTCTATTAAGTGCAAAATTCTCGTATTATGCAGTATTAAATTTCAGTCATATTAAATTTTACAAGTTCTTATCTCTCTTGATAATTGCCTCCCGATAACACAAATTTTGATGTAATTTATAGGTATAATAATTTATAGGTATAATAATTTTGTTTAGCTTTCTGAATTAGCAACGCACAAAAATGCTTTATCTTGTATTTAAAATTTTTAATATAACGAGAAAATTGATGATAAACTTTATTTTTATTTTTATAGGGCCGATGCATCAATTGTAGATGAAGGATATGTTTACAATCTGACAAAATTCGGGCAAGTATGTGAAAATTATTGAAATTATTAATATTTTTTTTAGTACAATATTTTGATTGTTTTGATGCATATTATTTTATATGATAAATAAAAAATATTCCGAATTATTTCAAGCGTTTGGTATATCTGTATGAGATTATAGCAGCTTACTTATTTATTGTGAAATAGATATTGTGAGATAAATCTCACAATAGCTAAAAGGCATGATAAATTGATGATATGATATAAATTGATTCATATGATATATTGAAACTTGATCGAAAATATGTAATGATTAATTAAAATTAAAGATCTAAAAACATGAATTGCTTTTTTATATAATTATAATAATTATAATATTAGAAAATATTCTCCGAAAATAATATATAATTAATATCTATTAATTATATATTATATAAAAAATGATTTATACGATCATTTTAAACTAATTTGATAGGACTATTAATTTTTAATTTTAAATAAAAACTAAAAATTTTAATCGCTATTTGTCTTTAAAAAAAAACCAATGATATCTCATAAATTATAGACAGTAGTTTACGAGATGAATCGAATTGGAATGTTAGTCGATCTGTCTCACGTTTCTCACAATGTTATGAGAGAAGTGCTCGCAATAACAAAAGCACCCGTCATATTCTCGCATTCGTCCGCTTTCAATGTTTGCAGACATTACAGGAACGTTCCCGATGATGTCCTGCACCTAGTCGTAAGTATATATAAAGAAAATTTTTTATAAAAGAAATGCAAAAGTTTCAAAAATATTTTCCTTTTTTTTCAGAAAAAAAACAATGGTATTGTTATGGTAAATTTCTACAGTACTTTCGTAAATTGTAATTCTTCCAGAAACGCGACAATGCAAGATGTCGTAGGTAATGTATTCAATTATTATCCTACATAGTATGTGATATACATATGTGATTTATAATAATTTTAAAATTTATCATTAATTATTAGTTTATAGGGACCTTGTAAACTTTGTACGTTAATCTCAAAAGTTAAAGATAATAGCATATATGAAATAATATATAAAAAATTTTTGATCTCTCTGTCTTTTTCTTTTTTTCTCTCCATAAAAATATGATTAATTTCTAGCATTATATAATTTTCTTTTCTGGTGGTCTTTTCTATAGTCACGATTTGTTAATTTTTATGTTGACATCTGACAATGTATCCAATAATGTATCTGATAATGTATCCTCAGTTAATTTTTGTGCATGTGAATTTTTAACCTTCTTTATTAATTTATCGATCTTCATTTATTGATTTTATTAGATCATATAAATCATATTCGAAATCTTATCGGCGTGAACCATGTGGGTATTGGCGGAGATTATGATGGTGTAAACACGTAAGTAATTATTTTAATCCTAATAACACGAATATTATGAATGATACTAATTAATAAGTACAAATAAAATATATTTAATAAAATTAATTAGAATGCCGATAGGTCTGGAAGATGTTTCAAAGTATCCAGATCTTTTTGATCGTTTATATGAGAATCGAGAAGGAGAACCAACATGGACTAGAGAGGATTTAGAAAAATTAGCTGGAAGAAATTTTATTCGCGTTTTCCAAGCAGTAGAAGCTGTAAATATAAAACTTATAAAAAATATATAATGCATTTATGAGTAATAAGAATATAATCTTTCAGCCTATTTTTCTTTATTTTATTAATATTTTTTTTAAAAGGTACGAGATTCTTTATCGTCCGAATCACCTCGAGAAAATATTATAACGGGAAACGAATTATACATTGCACAAATGAGAGAAGGACTTAGTCCAGGCGCATGTCAAACCGCAAAAGAGTAAATATTTCATAAAATATCTAATTCATTGTATAATATTTATTATAATAAGTATATTAATTTATCGCATAAAAAATGGTATTTTTCCTAATATTTAACATTTTCTAAGTATTTTTTATTTTTATATTAGATGGCGTAATGTAAATGCAACATCAGGTACTGAAGAGAAGATTTCAGGAATTCATTAAGACTGAAGCCATTAAGGATGATGAAATTATCATGAAGAAATCTATTAAGAGTGGAACATCATTCCATGTGGACTCAAGTTAAAGTAAATAGTATGAAAGCATATAAAAGCATAAAACAATATGTGATATTTTATTAAGACGCAATTAATATTAAAGAGCAAAATGTAAAAAAATATAATAATTTTATTTATTTTACTTCTATTTTTATATATTATTCGACTTTAGATAAAAGATTTCAAAATGCTTTTAGATTTACGAATATAAAAGTAATATATATATCAGAAGATCTACAAAATTATTAATTTTTATAATTTTTGTGGTTTTTATTAAATTACAAAATTAATTAAGATTTTCATGATACTATACATTTGTATAGAAACATGAAAACCTTAATTAATTTTTAAATTATTATTTAATTATAATAAACAAAATTTGCAGAAGAGAGGTACATATCTGATAAAATACAATATCATTCGTGTGTAAATTGTTTTCTATATTTAAAAAAAAGAATTATAATAATAATATTTTTTACATTATCTTTTTTAAATATTAGCATTAAACGAAACATTTTATCGCATAAATATAAAATATGAATGAGATATGAATAATAAAATTTTATCGAATTTATTGATAAAAATTAAAAAATAATATCATCAATTTTTTTTTAAGTTACATTTTCAATTTACATAAACTTATAATAACATTGTAACATAATAAAAAAATATGATAAATTATAATAATTATTAATCTGTTATAATACGTCAGTAATAAATAATATATTCTATTTTATTTTAATAAAATGTTTTTTTCACTTTCTTCTAAGTATTTCAAATTACTTTTTATGTAAAGTACTTAAATAAAAAATAAGAAACAACATCATTATATTAAAAGACATTGTCCTATTCATTAATAGTTTGTATTATCATTAAAAATTGGCTTCCATAATTATTAATATACATATATTTATAATATAATTATAATACTGAGAAAAAAATTAGATAACTATCTTTACACACACACAGACACACACAAAGTATTTTGAAACATTTAATGTAATTAACAACAAACAAAAATTTATATTTTAATTTTCTCTTTCAATTGACTTGGATCATTCTATGAATTGCATAGATTTTTGTATTAATTCAATTTCCGTCAATAAATTTTCCCTGAAAATATTTTAAATAAAATTAGATCGAATTGTCCGACTATATTAAAGTGTCTTTAAGATAACTCATAAATTTAAAAATATTTCATTTTAACTATAATCTTCATATTATATCATTACACATATATATATATATATATATATATATATATATATATATTTATACTAAATATAAAATTTATAAGATATTATTGCATGTTTAAAAAAATGTCAATCAATTGACGCTAATCATTGACTTGATACTTGACAATCATTGACTTGATCAATTGACACTCATTGACTTTTTCTAATAATCGGTATAATAGTTAGAATTGGAAATCCATTGAACTTTGTACATATAGATATATTACAATATCAATTGACAATATCAATTGACACTAACCATTGACTTTTTCTAATAATTGGTATAATAGTTGGAATTGGAAATCCATTGAACTTTGTACATATAGATATAGTATAGGCTCCCATATCTTCCCAGACTAACCAATCACCGAGGTGAAGTTCTGGTAACATTACCTCTTGAACAATTACATCAAATGAGTCGCAAGTCGGTCCCCATAAAGTCGAAAGAAATTTTTCGTTACTCGCTGGCTATAAAACGCAATAATAAATTAATTAAATTATTTTATATTCACATACAAAAAATATGACGGAAACACATATAACATAATCAAAAGAAAAATTTAATTACTTTAAAGAGGATTTGTGGAACTCTGAATTTCAAACCCAACAATTCTTCGATGAATGAATTATATACACCGACGTTAATATAATACATTCTCGTAATTTTACCGTTATTGTGAGAAAGTCTCTTGGAATGTAAATAAGCAGCTAGAGTAAATGCCGAAGTAATGTAGTATCTTCCGGGCTCGCTAATAACTTTTATGCTAGGGTCAAGATCTTGAATTGCATCATTAATTATATTGGCGAACTAAAAAGTTTCAGATTAATCAAACATATTTTTACTATAAACTATATGTGACATGAAACGAATTGAAAAAAGAGCATAAGCATACAAAAGAGCATACTTCATCAATTTCTGTTCCTCTTTCCCCAGGAAAACCGCCACCGATATCAATCAATTGCACATCTTCGCAGCCCATAGTTTTAGCAATTGTAATCAATCGTTTACACATCCCGATAGTTTTGTTAAATGCGTTTAAGTCTCTACAAGGACTACCAACGTGAAAACTGAAGCCATGTAAAGTCAGATCAAGATCCATCATGAGTTGTATCAATCGCACAGCTTCCTCATCTGATTCGCAACCGAATTTTAATCCGAAATTGGCGTCTGAGTTTTTCGCATCATATTGCATGCGTATGACTATTCTGTGAGATTATTACAAAAAATTACTATATCACATAAAAGCATCAATGTAAACGGAATATGCAAACAATTTTTATTATTGCAGTTACAATGATGAATAATATCGTAGTGATTTTATATACTTTTATCTACTCACTTGGCCTCGGGATAAAGATCTTTAATCTTCAAAATCTCTAATTCACTATCGACCGTTAATTGATTAATGCCCATTTTCTTGGAGTATTTGATATGAGACGGATATTTACACGGATTAGTGAATACGATGCGATTAGCATGCACACCGTATTGCATTACCAGTCTAATTTCTTGCTATATTAATATATTACGTATATGTTAGAAATAAGTTTGCCATTGTTTCTTATAATTTAAAATAATAAACATCACATAAATATCAAATAAAAGATAACAAAAATTTTATTATTTAAAAAAGAATATTCGATTTAAAAAATAATAATTAATCTAATAAAAGTTTAAAATGCAATAAAAAAACCTTAACTAGAATGGATAATAAATTTTTTTTTTTAAAGTATGATAAATAATTTAGTATGATAAATAGAATAAGATCGCAATAAAAAAAGTCACAATAATTTACCTCCGACGCACAATCAAAACCAGCATTTAAAGCTGCCAATATTTTTATTACTGTCGGATCAGGATTGCATTTAACCGCTGAAATCAATTGCAGGAGAAACATCAATTTTTCTTTCAATATAAATTTAAATAATAAAAGAAAGATTTTTAAATTTATCAAGCCGATTTATCAAGTAAATATTGAACTTCAAAATTCTCGAACTTCGATCGCGTGTTTATTTTGTCTAGCATTTTCCAATTTTATTAGTAATGTCTAAAAATCGATATTTTGATAGCAAAAAATGTTATATGTTTTTATAATAAAATTGCATATTTTATTAAATAACGAATTTCAAGTCGCGAAAATGTACAGTAATAAATAAATATAAATATAGTTGCTCAATTAGTTGCAATATTTGATTCAATTTTCATATTATAAGTTTTTATATATTAAGTTTTAATAAGCAAAGAATAAAATATAATTTAATGAATATTTATACAATTAATTAACACTAAGGTTTATTAAAAATTTTTAATATTTACAGTCTAAAATAAAATAAAACAATATCTGCATATTTGGGTATAAAAATTTAAATCTGGTGTTGAGATATTTAAAAGGTAATTATTTACTTATAGAGACGATTTCTTCCGATTTCAATAATTTTAAAAAGATAAGTGTAACAATGTGTTAAACGAAAACATAGTCTGTATATGGGGTCATGAAATTACATATTATTTATTAAACGTTTTTGTTTATAATTTTTAATAAACAACGACCTTGATTCAAATTTTACAACATTATTCAGAGTGATGACCTTGATAATATTTGAGAATTATTGAATTCGTGAAATAGTATATGAGTAAGTAAATCTAAGTAAATATAATTAAATAAATCTAAGTAAATATATAAAAAATAAAAAAATAATTATTATAATTAAATAATTATTCCAGCCTTCTTAAAATAAAAAAATTTGCGCATTCTCTTTTCACCTTTTTTTCTTCTTTTTGTTACATTATGTGTATAAATTTATGTTACAGCAACTAATTTTAATATTTTATTCGCGCAAAAATATTTCATAAAAAAATATAACTGGATTGAAAACAATTTTTTACATATTCACGATGGTTCGATTTGAGATTTGTTTAAAAATTTCAAAATTCAAATCGAGGCCCTCTTCTAAACTAAAGAAGAGTATAGATAATGCTTATACCATAATGTGGAACAACCCTTGGAATCTTGGTAATCCATTCGCGGTGTTTGTTAATAACATCACCTATATCTACAATATAGAAACCGTTTTCTTGATTTTCCGTATCGATTATAGTTTTAATAATGTCCATATTGTCAACAGCGTCATCAAAAATTTTAATCTCATTGAAATTGTTAGCAGACATGTTTGAGATAGTATTCGAATGTAACGAAGTCTCTGCACGAACTGAAGGTTATTCTGTAACGCTTGCGTTTATATATCACTGCGAAGATTCTTATACCATATAACAGCTGCGCAACATACGTAATGCAAGCGTTAAAGTTACAGAATAGGGATTCTCTTAAGGAAAAAATTAATCGAACATTTAAGTAGCCCGAGATATTGTGATAAGCATTGCTAACGTTGAATGCAAGCACAATCCGTTTCATGCTTGCACAGCGATAAAATTCTTTGAAATTATTACAAATATTCTTTATTGGTAAGAATAACTTTTTATGAAATTATAAAGGAATTCATGCACACTTATCTATGCACAATTATCATTGAGCAAATAGACAATAATGCTTCGATGAAGAAGTAAATTTTCCATTGCATGTGTGAATGAAAAGAGATTTTACTAAAGTAAGATTTATTTCTATTTACAAAAGTCACGAAAGATTTGTTTCTGAAGAGAAAGGAAAAATCCCAAATTGATGAATTGAATTGAAATCCCATTTACTTTCGAACCGGAGTGTTTTCTTATCATAAAATTTTCTATACTGATTCATACCTCTTATTTTTTCTCCCTTTTTCTTTCTTTACTTATATGCATGCATACATATATGCATACATATATATAAAACTAAAATAAGAGTTATAAATATTAATTTTTTATTAATATTAATTTTTATTTCTTTTTATATTGCATTAGAGTATAGGATTTTAATTATTTTATATAATGTGTAAAAACACAGTTTTCAAATATCATTTTTTAATATCTATGATACCCGATAAAATTTATCAGAAATTTGAGCTTTGTGTATTACAAAAAAAAATATTCAGATACTTTTTAATAAAAAAATTGTAATGATAAAGAATAATTATCTATAATTATATGGTTATATCATTAATTGTATGATTCAATATAAATGTTCACCTTATCATATAAAAGCAAATCCATTCTTTTGCCCGATGCTTTTGACGTCACTTTTAGTCACTTTCTTATCATGCATACTCTATATGTATACGATAGATTATGATAAAAATACTCTGGAGCGTTAATTGATATATATATATATATATATATATATATATATATATACATATAAATTTTGTGTATGCATACACCCGCTATGTGTAATAATATACAATAAATAAATTATATCTAGATAAACGATTTATATATATGTATATGTGATGAATATCTACAATTATAAATAGCAATAAAAACATAAAATTTCCAAGGATATAGTAATAATTAACAGAATATGAAATATATTACATTTTTTGGTGTGTCTTTATATTATTTATTTTATTTAAGACAATATGCAGGGTTACTGTCTTACAATTAGATTAGTCTTCTAGACTTCCTCCGCACACGAATTTTACGATCGCGAATCGATATCGATATTCACGGAAGGATCGCGCCAACGAATCAGGAATACAACGATAATTTCGAGTAGGGGATTAAGACCGAAGGATTAAGATCGAAACGGAAGAAGATCGATTCAATCGACAGAATTGACGTGAATGAGATTCGCTCAAGTGTTGACTCGCTCATATTAGTATCTTAAGCTAATTCGAACTAGTTTAGATAGGATTTCATATAAGATACCAAGATATTATGTGATAGCGATATAATAAAATAGACGTGCGACGAGAGTGAAAATACCATATAGATGTATTTACAAAAATTTCATTGTGATTTCTTTATCTCTCTTTTTGCAAAAGAGACCCATTAATATGTAATTATGTATTTATTATAATATTGAATTTGTGTACATAAGTTTACCATTATTACTCATCAATGATATGCATCCATCATTTTTACTTACGTATATTAAATTTGATATATGTACAAATGGATACATAAATACATTGAAAATACATGATACATACACGTGCTATTTCTATTCAAAAGAAGAAAAACATTTTAGTAATTCAAATAAAATGCAACAGGTGGACGTACATAACTTTAATACGTTAATATTGAAATGTTTTCTTTCGCAAAATTGATTTCCTATACATGGCGAATAATTCATCATTTAGAAATCAATTAAAAATTTGATAATAATTTTCCTTAAAGTAAACTTTCGTCATAACTAAAATTAGATCATTTCGCGACATGTAATAACATATTCTTCGTCTAAATTCAATATATTAAGAGTGTAACGATAAGCCATGTAATGGCTTGTAAGCCATGTAAAGCCATGTAAAGCCATGTAAGATAAGGTATCCAGATAATATACTATCCGGGTAATGGATAATTCAAGTAATATTATTGTTTTATTAACATAAAAATCTCTCAACTAATATGCAATTTTTTTTTCTCTCTCTCTCTTGACAAATATGTTAGATATTGGATAAAAAATATTTTATTAAATAATATATATAACAAGAATTATTTTATAATGCTTTCAAAATAAATACAGGAATTCAAAATAAATACAGGATTTTATTAGAGTGAAATTTTTGAAGAAAATTTTGAAGAAAATTTATAATACAAAACAACACAAAAGATTATAATAATTCGCATTATTTGATTATTACATCTTATAAATAATGATAGCAGAGTATATGATTATATCTCAGTTACGAAATTAAATTCTACAGAACAAATGCTATTATAAAGAATACAATTTTTTCTAGTTATATTTTATTTGATAAACCTATGGCTAATTCTTATAATATAACTTTTAGAAGTTTCTTTTTTTAGTAGTCATCTCACTATCAAATTTCAGTAATTCAATGGGATTATTGATATTTTCAACGAATTTTAAATTGTTTCAATAAAATAAACGTATGTATGTTCTGACAAGTAAAATAAGTGTTTTGACGAGAGAAGAGGATTACGAGTTAATACTCATAAACTGCACGAATGTAACAAGAAGATAAGATTTGTCAAATTCGAAAAAATACCTATGTGTAAACATAATGTTTATCAGTACGATTAATCATTAGACTAATTAGCTACATAGCATGGATAAAAGAATTTTCTAAGTTGTAAGAATATATGTTCTGATATACATTTTCTATGTATTTATATTTCTAGATTAATTCTAGTTTTTAATTCTAAAGATTAATTTTTAAGATTAATTTTAATTTTAAGATTAATATTTCTAAAAACCAATATCTTTCACTATTGTAGATATTTCCATTTCCGTCCATGTCGCCCAAATTTAAGAAAAATGTTATAGGTAAATGTGTGATAGGTAAAAAATTGGAAAAAACTGACTTGAAGAGAGAATTTAAAAGAGCATAAAACATCATTTTTCAATTGAAAAAATCAAAAATCAAAAATTTTGTCTTTAAAAGATCGTGTCCTATGAAACAAATTAATACAAGCAATTATTAATAATAAAATAATATACAAGCACCATCGCGCATTATTCCAAATTCAAATATATAAAGATATGTATATTCAAAAATCTATCATTACTATGTTTATCTATAAAGATAGATATTTATTTTGACCAAATACTCATTAAGATTATGGATATTTAATTAATAAAAATGACAAAAGACCCCGTGCTAATTACAATTTTTCATCTACAAATATTTAATGTAACGAAACATTTAAGATATCACAGTCCCAGAAACGATTTATCCTCTCTCTAAGCAAAATATCATAACATTTTTTGTCTATATAACTCTCTTCAATTCTAGTCTTTTCACGTCAATAAGTTTAATTAATCTTTTGCCATCCAAATAAATCCCATCTAAATAAAGCCATATTTCAAAATATAATTTATGCAAGAAAAATTGTCTGTTTCCCAATTAAATATGTACTTTCCATGTTTTCATATTTTATGTCGGTTTGTATAATAAATATAAATTCATTAATTCATAAATATGAATAAATGAACATCAATAAATATGGACAGATTATGCAAAATTAAAATAAAAATGACACATTATAAAATTAAAACACAATTAACGATTAACACGTTTTCATCAAATGAATTATTTCGAATATACTCTGATTTTATTTTTCGTTTTTCTGTTATTTGTATTTGTGATACATGTTCACATAGAATTTTTTGGGATTATTTTTTCTTATGCATTAGTTTATACAATATTTAATCCTGAAAAAATAAAGATAAGAAGACTAAAAATATTTGAATTGACCTCCAATACTATCAAAAAATATTTGAAAAAAAATGAAAAAAAAGAAAATAAAATAACAGCCAAATATACAACACACATTTTTCCCTACAACATATTCTATAAATATTAATTTATTTTTATATTTCATTTAATACAATATGAATATCTAATCTTCTATTCTAATCTAATATTCTAATCTTCATCTAGTTTTTATCTTTTCATAACACGAAAAAAAATTTAATATCAAAAATATAATATTAAAATATAAAAAGCTTTATTTTATTAGAAATATAAATCTTATATTTAAATATTATTTCTTTCCCTTTTTTCTTTACTTTTCAAAATTTAATTAATTAAAATATATAATCTTTTAAATAATTTTAATATATTTTTAGATAATAATAATATACATACTTGAAACAAATTATCAAAAAGTAATATTAATAATATATTATATCTTCATAGTATATGCTTTATCCTTATATTTTCTAAAAATCCTGTAAAGTGATTGATAAAAAGTTTAATATAATAATATCTTTGTTTCTTCATTTTGTGCGTGTAAAGACGATTTTTTTAACAAAAATTATGTTATTATTGATCATTATTTTATACCAATCATACACACTCAAGCTATGGAAATATTTTATATAATATAAATAAATATTGCATCAAAACTTTTATCACAGATTCTTGTCCAAGATATATAAAAATTGCATTTCTATATGTAAAATTCAAATATTAAAATGTTTCTTCTTGTTTTCATAAAGTTACAAATTTTTATCTTAAATCTTTCTGGGGAAAAATTCTTGATATAAGTCAATAATGTATAAATGAAAAAATGATGTTTATATAAATTATTTCCATGTGTGCATTTTGCACATTAACAAACAGTCTCTTATACTTCAGGATTAAATATTTGGCCCAGTGTTTGCCCTAATCTGTCCATTTTAGGCCGTAATGGATTTAAGGCATATGTTTCAATATTTTATATTATTTATTTATATTTTTATCATTTTTAATATAATTTATAAATAATAGCTTCTACTATCAAATAATGTATAGTAAATAATAAATAAAATTTTACTATTGCAGTTATTATTACATGACAAATTTAAATGCAAACTTATATACATTAATAATTATCAGAAAACTTTAATTTGATTTATATTAATTGTGATATATATGTCACCTTATACATATATTTAATAAAGCTTTTCCAAATCCATTACTTCATTTTATTAAAGTAAAAAACAGTTTAAACTCACCATATGCAGCATCGGAATTATACAGGATTAAATATTTGACATAGCGTAGTACACAGCTTTGATCTGTAAAAATATGCAAATATATTTATTTAATATAAATTAAAACAAATGCCCAAAATATATTTAATATCTTGAAAAATAATTATATAATTAGTGAAATTTTGCTTTTACTAAATTTTTTAAAAATAATAAATTTAATAATAAATAACTGATAATTTATTCATAATAAATTATTCACCTCATGATTGTTTCACCGTCACTTGATATCACCATGGACTTCCTCTAACTCCTTTTCTTCATCGTTTCTTCGTGGCATGTACTAGTAAAAACAATTAATTATAATTAAGCATATATTCATAAAAACAATTAATTAAACTAACTTAATTATAATTATGCGTGTCCTAATCACATTCGAATATAATTGATGAGTGCAAAGTATCTTGCACATTTTCGATTTTAATGGCGGATGATTATGGATGCGGTCAAAACTGCACTATGAATGCTCCGAAACATCATTCTATCTTTATTCTCATGGAATGTAGAACAAAGATAGAATGATGTTTCAAAGCATCCAAATTCAAAGCTTCCCGACCGCAATCTATGAGAAAATAACGCAGAAAAAGCGCGCAAAATTCACAATCGCTCGTAAATCTCCTAACCTTGCATGCGCGCGTACAGTAGAGATTTTAATAAATCATCCACGGCCATAGAAGTGCCATATTTATATGCGATCGAAAATTATTAAAATATGATTTTAACAATTGACAATTATCGTAAATATATGTATATCATGAGACAATGATTTATATTAATCCGTATCGCGTTAGTATCTCGTGCAATATTGTCCTCGACAAACAGCCGTTACTGCGATACGTTTAATCGAATTAAATAATTGATGCTCACTAATCATTGGTCGTGTTTAGTAAGATATTTTTAATGATCGTATCTCGAAAATTAATGACATTGCTCGCGCGTCACTGATCTCTGATAAGATATTTTACGATTAATTCCTAAGCAAACTTTCGATAAAAATGCAATGTAAACTCGATTATAAATGTGAACTTGTCTCTAAATATGCAAATTCTCAGAAGACAGATAGGATAAGAATCAATAACAGCAATCTTATCTGATCCGAAAAAATCGCTTGACTTTTTGCTCTTAAAATTTCCATCTAATATACCACGAAACTAATAAATATTTGCACAATTTATTGAGAAAAACAATACTATATTGAATAATCATATTTATTTGGTTCGATTATCTCTTTATGGACTTACCTGTGCGGATATTATTAGGGTCTGGAATTCTCAACTTCTACACTCTCCGTTTTCGCGCTGAAAGAGGAAGAAGACGTAGTAGCATCTTGAAGTAATCAGTATGAAAAGCACCAATCAAATCGATGAGGGCGCCCGAAATCTTCCGAAAACCGCCGAGCAGCCTTGAACAATTTGGCGCGAAGATTCAAAATCATTTAAAGTCGTTTTGTAAATGGACATAATAAAGGATATCAAACATATAATATTTTCCTTTGGAAATCACGTGAAAATGAACTCGACACGATAATACGAATTTAAATTTTAGCGAGATCTCTGTCTAATTACTTTTATAATATAAAAATTATATTTTTTACGTATATAAACAAGAGGACTTACATTTCTCTCCACTTGAACAATCTAAATCTGAAGATGGACAATCAATGTAGCATTATTATTCGATATACATTTATAGATAAGACGTTAATAAAAGGATCTTTATCTGAAAAAAAATTACACACGCGCACGCGTAATTGCGTACCGACACGCACACACATTCGCGCATTCGTGAAAGAGAAGTCGCCATCTGTCAGCGAGTAGGGTCATCATTATCGTCAATGTGTATCCTGTATCAGTGATTCATGGAGTTGGATATATTATGAGAGTACATTTACGTTACTGAAAGTCCCTCACAATTATGCAGTAATTACACGTGTCATCTTGAGAACGACATCCAAGGTCGAGCTTCGAAAACGCAAGCATCGGCGTCGACGCGTCAACGCGACAGCAGGAAGTCTTACAAACGTACGACGCACCAAATTGTCAGTGTGTCCGGCAGCAAAATGGCAGCGAGTGACTCTACCACGGACGACAGCCTTTATCCGATCGCGGTTCTGATCGACGAGCTAAAAAACGAGGATGTCCAGGTAATTACGGCGATTATATAATAAAGCGCGAATTTTCCATTTTTTCGTCTTCGTCCAAAATGTTCGTTTCTCCGTCATCCGTTTGCTAAATAACGCGTTGCCGACATAGCGATACTCGAGAAGAGATAGGAATATCCTTCGTCTAGTGTGTGCGCGATATATAGCGCTCTCAAAGATAATACGTAAAAGATACGTATAATGATATATAGTATCGAGAGGGCGATACAAATATTTAATAAAGAGAAATATAATTGAAACTTTTTGGACATTTGAAGTGCAAAACAAAAAATTTCTAATTCTGTGTATTGACATTACAAACATTTCTCGTTTTATTACAGCTACGTCTCAACTCCATCAAGAAGCTATCAACAATTGCACTTGCACTAGGTATCGAACGAACACGAAGTGAGTTAATTCCATTTTTAACGGAGACTATTTATGATGAGGATGAAGTCCTCCTTGCACTGGCTGAGCAACTTGGCACATTTACTCCTCTCGTTGGTGGACCAGAATATGTGCATTGTTTATTGGTAAGAACAATGGATTTTGAAGTGTTTAACATAAATCCCAGATTTATTTCAATAATCTCTATGTTCTATCAAAGAAATATAAATTCTAAATTTCTATTTTAGCCACCATTAGAATCTCTGGCCACTGTTGAAGAAACTGTGGTTCGTGATAAAGCAGTGGAATCTTTGAGAAATATTGCGAGTCAGCATAGCCCTGCAGATTTGGAAGAGCACTTTGTTCCTTTGGTACAACGCTTAGCTTCAGGAGACTGGTTTACATCAAGAACATCAGCATGTGGTTTGTTCAGTGTTTGTTATCCAAGAGTGAGTCCAGCTATCAAAGGTAAAATTGTACAATAATTTTATCTCTTGCAAATTAATGCTGAATAAGTTCTTAATATAAAATAAATAATAGAAAGATTAAAAAAAAAAACGTTAATGTTATAGCGGAATTGCGAAATCACTTTCGCAGTTTATGCCAGGATGATACACCTATGGCACGACGATCAGCTGCCTCTAAATTAGGTGAATTTGCAAAAGTTGTGGAAATCGAATATCTTAAATCAGATTTAATTCCTATGTTTGTTATCCTTGCTCAGGATGAACAAGTAAGTTCATTAAAATTATGAAATTTTGCAATTCTATCTTTTTGTATTGATTATTACACACACTAATAATTTTATAGGATTCAGTACGTCTTTTGGCTGTTGAAGCTTGTGTTAGTATTGCAGCATTATTACAACAAGAAGATGTTGAACAGCTGGTTATGCCTACGCTTCGGCAATGTGCTAGTGATCAATCATGGCGTGTTCGTTACATGGTGGCAGACAAATTTACAGATGTAGGCATTCTTTTTTTTCTCCCTTTTTCTTTAATGTGAAAATGTATTTTTATGCAGGAAATTTATATGTAATATTTTACTCTTTCTATCCATGAATATATATCTATAAATATATTTTTTTTAGCTTCAAAAGGCTGTTGGTCCAGAAATAACAAAAACAGATCTTGTGCCAGCATTTCAAGTATTATTAAAGGATATTGAAGCAGAAGTACGAGCTGCAGCTGCTGATAAAGTTCGCGATTTCTGTCAGAATCTTGATCAATTCAATCAGGAGTCCATAATAATGACAAATATATTACCTATTGTTAAAGAACTAGTGGCAGATCCAAACCAACATGTAAAATCAGCTTTAGCAAGTGTCATCATGGGATTGAGTCCCATACTTGGAAAACACAAGTAAAAATTAATAATTTTGATATAATATTGCCAGATATACAATAATTGATTAATAATCATGTTTAATACTTTTGCAGTACGATTGAACATCTATTACCTTTATTCCTATCTCAACTTAGAGATGAATGTCCAGAAGTACGACTCAATATTATTAGCAACTTGGAATGTGTTAATGAAGTTATCGGAATACAACAACTTTCACAATCCCTCTTACCTGCTATTGTGGAATTAGCCGAGGATTCTAAATGGCGTGTGCGACTAGCTATTATTGAGTAATTATATATTAATTTGTTTCATTTATATAATTTAAAAGGAAAGAATAAGGTGGCAATATACTTGTACTGCTAATTTCGCATATTCGCTAATTTTAGATATATGCCATTATTAGCTGGACAACTTGGAGTAGAATTTTTTGACGAGAAATTAAATTCTTTATGTATGACTTGGTTGGTGGATCATGTTTATGCAATTCGGGAAGCAGCTACCTTAAATCTGAAAAAGTTGGTAGAAAAGTTTGGTCCCGAATGGGCACAGAATACAGTTATACCCAAAGTTTTGGCTATGTCTAGGGATCAGAACTATCTTCACAGAATGACATGCTTGTTCTGCATTAATGTAAGCTGCATCATTATGTTATAGAGTTTTGAGACAGAGATTGTGCTGGTAATATGTATTTAAAAAAATCATTTTATGCAATTTTTAGGTTTTAGCTGAAGTGTGTGGTCCAGAGATAACAACAAAGGTAATGCTTCCAACAGTATTAACAATGGCTACTGATAATGTTGCAAATGTAAGATTTAATGTCGCTAAGACTTTCCAACGAATTGGACCTTTTCTCGAACCTTCAGCAGTTCAAACTCAAGTAAAACCTATTCTCGATAAACTGAACACTGATAGCGACGTAGATGTGAAATACTTTGCTTCAGAAGCAATAGCTGGCATTGCAGGTAATAATATATTGCTATATCTTATTAAGATTTAATGAATAAATAATATATCTAAGCATGTTCATATATATAGAATGCTGATTACAAAAACTAAATCATTTATTATTTTCCATCTTAGTCATATTTAGTTTTGATTATGTTAATGTTTCAGCGTAGGTTGAACAACATAGAATGCATTTATCATATACCCGCAACATATTCAACTTAAAAATTTGAGATAAAAATAACATCCTACAATACTTCACTATACATGGTAATAGATAATATTAATGCACAATCATGAAGCAGACTTTGACGCGATACAAAGGCATACAAATTCTAATTAGTAGATTATAAATATATCAAATAGATCATATAAATCATATTTCTTAAGTTATGTTGTATTTGTATACCTATTATTACCTTACATTAATAAGTACAATATTCAATTTAATTTGTAACATGTATTTCTCATACATACTTGAATGTTTTAAAAAATACATAATAAAATAAAAAAACATCTCTCTCTAAATCATTCCTACAATAAAATACCTAATTATAAACTGCACTTCTGCTTTTGCTAATCTTAAAAAAACATTTTAATAACTAATATTTTAATTTTTCAAACATTTGTATTATATATATTATTACATATATTAAGAAAAAACAAAAGAGAAAACAAGTTTTTGTTACAATTCATTTTATTACATAATCATTAATATATATATATATTATATAATATTATCACAGTTTATTATTATTATTGTGTTCAATAAATTTTCAATATATATATTTATTAAATTTGATAATTGTAAATGTAAGATACACTGGTATTATGAGAATGTTAATATAATATAAGCATTTTCAAGTTTTATTCATACTATAACAAATTTCACGCTTTCCAAATAAAATATATTATTAATGGTTATAACTTTGATTTGTAGTATGATATAACAGATATAACTTTAAACACTAAAATGTAATAAATATATAACTTTTAATATGATTGACATATTATTAAGCAATAAAATAATAAGAATAATAGTGAATATTAAGGAATAAATGAACATTCAGTCGTTTACTTATTGCAATAGATGAGCACATTACTGTTGCACATTTGATGTTATGATATAAATATATACTTGTATTGTTTGTATGTATATATATATATGATATATACTACATTTTTTGAACTTTTTAAAATACTTCTACAAAAAATATAGTTATACAAAAAAAATAGAAGCTCTTTTTATTAAAGTTTATATTTAATATCAGTATAGAGGGTCTTTATTAATCTTACTGTATTAATTTTCTTCAATTATTTTTAAAGTAAAATATCGACTTTTTAGAATTACATATGATAATATATGACATAGTATAATACGTCATTATTTTTATGCAAAACGTTATAGAAAAAACAAATTTTTAAATGAGAAGTTCAAAACTTTTTATCAGTTTATAGTGTACATGTGTAGAACTATGAATTATATTATGTGTAAAGTATATTGTCTGCAACTATTGTACGTAAAAAGCCTTTATATGGGAGCAATGTTAATTTTAACACTCTACAAAATAATATTCATAATTATATAAATTTTTCTTAAGGTAACTAAATTGTTAATTTAACTGTTTAAGATACATAATATAATTTTAGTCATATAACACAGACATTTCAATATTAAACTGTTACATCTTTTAATACAATCTATAATAAGCTCTTTTTTATAATAACAACTTTCTTTGTATTTTATAAGCCTATATAGATTGTTATATAGATTGTTATTTGATAATACATCTTTTAATAACAAAAAAGATAGAAACAAAAATGAATTTGTAAAATTAAATTTCGATTTTTTTTATCACAGGAAAAAGGTATGTTATTTATATTCTTAAAAATATCTTATGTATATAAGAGAGATAGAATCTCTATTATATATATTATTATTATTATTTATATTATAATCTGCAGAGTGGACCACTTAAAGTATGATAAATAAATACTTTCAAATATAGTGATAATTTGAGAACATTATTAGGCAAAGTTGCAATATTTTATAGAGTATAATTTTAGATATTAACTTTTTCCTATATGAAACCAAAGAAAGAAGATTAATAATATAATTTTCGTTATTTATGATTATCACCGAATAGCTTTGATCATTATTTATTTTAATGTGAATTGTGCAATTAGACATACAAAAAAATATATAATCTTATTTCAAGAAAAAAAAATGATCCTGTAATTTTCTATAACATTTTATAAAAAAGAACTTGAAGTGTATATGCTCTACAACTATATATATAAAATACTATAACTTTATCTAACAATATTTTTTTCATCAATATTTTTGAAAATATTTATTTGAAAATATTAAATTTTATGCATGTCTGATCTTGTATATACTATTATATATAACACTCTACTGATATATAACACTCGTCTTTTCAATACTTATTTGTAAATTATTAAATAAGTGTTAACAATTAGTATAAATTCAATTAACATAAATTATTCAATCGTAATTATATAAATATTTATTTATAAACTGCATCAACGATATAATGTTATATATCCTACTGATATCTATTTTTGAAAACTATTGTCTCTTTAAACATTACAATTGCTTATAATGAATACTACTATTGCTTTGATGAATGTACTCTATATGCTTAGTTCAAAGCTATTTTTTTGAAACAGTTGACATACAAATTCTAATGATACCTTTTCACCTTTCTAAAAAATTCTAATGACACCTTTTCACAAATATGAAATATATGATATACATATATATTAACAAAATAATTAAAATAACTCGAGTTATAATGTATCTCTTATGCAATCTTGCAAATATTTTGTAATGCAATATATTATATATATATTATATATATAATGTAAAATATGGGATCTCTATACATCCAAGCTTAGTTTGCATTTTATACATTTAGAAATATAATCAAATAATAAGGAAACATAAAATATAAAAGTTTGGCAACTGTTTTATCCTTCAATGAAATGTAAATATAGTACATTTTTTTTTAGTATTTTCTCTACATTTTGTAAAATAACTTTATTTTACAAAAAGTATATGAAAATTCTGATTGAAAGCGTACTGTGCCTTAATTATAGTCATTATATGTATATATATTTATGCTTATAAAACCAAACATGCACATCTACACATTATTATTTAATTTTCCTATCTTGAATTTATTTTAAACAGGAAACATACCTATGTTTTGTAATGCAATGGCAAGTATAGATTATATTGTAACCATATCCGATTTCATTAAGTCCACAGAATTTGTGTGACTTATTGTCGTAACATGTGCAGTCCCATTATTCTCACTATCACTGTTAACAATATTTAATGACGAAATTTTAGCTCGTTGATACGCTACAACAGTGTACAAACTCAAAAATCTGAAAAAAGCGATTTTAATTGTATAAACTGAACAATGCCAATGTTACAACTTTAAAAAAAGCTAGCATTTATTCTCACCTTATGCAGACGTACATAATCAATAATGCGGTTCCGGCTGCGAACATTCTGATAATGGATCCTTCTACAAATTGTATAACTACCCATGCAGCAGCAGAAGACGCACACATCGTAGTAACAATAGCGATAGTTTGCAAACCATGGCGTGGAGTTAAACTATTTTGCCAATCTAATCGACTGGCATGTTCAACATTGTACTTTGTATTGCAAACTTTACAAATAAGGCTGTCAGCATTAACAAAACTCTAAAGAAGGAAGAAGAAACGTAAAAAATTACAATTTACAAAATACATTGTGTTTGAGAAGCAACTTTTATCTAAAATAAAACATTATAACTATCTTACCTCGACGAGCCAACGACGTAGGCAATCATGATGTACAGCACTTACACCACCTTTACAATGGCATGGTTGTATTAGTGGACCAGCATCTTGTCTGTCATTGTCATAACAAATCCAACAATCCTTGCTATTAATCGATGTCCCATCTGTAGGAAGAAATGCAGTGTCTTGAGGTGTGTTCTTTTCTTGCAATTCAATTTCTTTTATGTATTTTCCCTGATCCAGATCCAATCTTTTCAATATACGCTTCGGATTTAAAATCCATAATTGTTCCGGACTGAAATAAAAATGAAAAAAATAAAGATATATGTGAATATACTATAAAAAAAATTTTATATGTACATAAAAAATATAGCTCACATACCTCATGCAGTTCCATAAAACACAGGGAAACCACAACGCTACACCAACTTCAATAACACGAAATACAACATCATGCCAATTCCTGCTGTACAATGGCACTCTAAAGACATAAGAATAAGTTGTATAAGTTGAGATAAATTCAAAAGATTGTGCATAATTTACATATATAAAATATATACTTCTCTCTATGTTTTCTTACTTTGTTTTCCAAAATTCACTGAGAGTCTCACTGAATAGAAAACCAACAATTATGAACAACATAAAGGCTTGAGAAAGTAATCCAAATCTTGATTGATGTAATTGGGATGTATTCACTTGTTGCATATGTAAAAGCTCTGTCATAGATGTAGATGGAATTGGATCAAATAATTTTGTTGTCACTTGATCCTCAGCTTGGATCTTTGCTTCATCAGCTGTACGTTTATTTGTTACAATGGAAGCGACTCGATATTCATTTAAGAATCCACCACGAACCTAAGTTAAAAATATCATAAATAACAAGAATGAGAGTTGTAATATAAAGTATTACAATATAAAGAAATATACCTTGAAAAATACTTCGACTCCATATATCAAGAATAAAACCACTACAATGAACAGGAACACTGCATAACAGCCATTGAATACATGTGTATAGAAACTCTAGAAAATAAAAAAGGATTTAATAAGCAATTTTAATTTGATCAAATATGCATACATGCAAATCAATGAATTATTGTAATAAATTACTCAATTATATTTTCCATTCTGTTGCTTACTTGATCTTGTTGTGAATATGTTTGAGCTGTAATAAATTCTGCTAATAGAAGGGAATATGTTATTATATTGAAGACAACAAAAACCAGAAAAGATTTTGATAAAAACTGAGGTTTGTCCCATCGAATGTCTCTAAGATGAAATACCTCAGCCCAAAAACAAACAATCAATGATGATCCACTTAAAAGCAATGGATAATACGCTGACAACAAAGATCTAGACCAGCCTTCTTTGAAAGCAGTCTGTAGAAAAAATAAAAATGTATTAAAATATATATGAGAGATAAGTATAATAATTATATATACCTTTTCTAAGTATAATAATTATATATACCGGTGATATGAAATATGCGCCTCGTATAATTGATGCAAGAAAAACCACAAAGTATAACACTTTTTGAGTAGTAACCCTACATGCTCTCAAAAATGATGGTGCCTTCATTCTTTGCCATTCTGCGACAATACACATGACAAGTTGTATCAAACAAACAAAGGCTAATAAAAAAAAGACTGTAGCAAAAGCAACATAATAACATAGATTTGGAATATGGCATTCCGGTCCATCAAATTGAATCTAAAACCGAAAAATTCAATAAAATTGATATATAATTTTAGGACAATTTAACGTAACAAACAAAATTATTACCTCGCATAAACAAGTTCCATTGTGGCATTCTCCATGACCTGAACAATTTTGAATCCCACAACTCTTGTTCCACGCCATTGTAAAACTGTCATCGACAATACACTGGACTGAGCAATCTGAACATCGCGGGCTGCGTTCCAAAATTCACTGCCAGTACTGGAAATCTATAGTTTACGTGACGTACACTATAGATTTTCAGTACTGGCAGTGAATTTTGGAACACAGCCGCGATAACAGGCGAACGCTCGCTGTAGAGAGAGAGGTACTACATGGGAGGCCTATGTCTGTCTCTTTTGCTAGTATCTCATTGGTAATTTTGTTTCCCGCCTCGATGGTAATAAAATAATATGTAAGATTTTATTTTCAGTTGGCGTAATTTTTTGATATCGTTAATTTTTATAGGATATTTTTGTAGGATATATTAAAACAAATGTGGAAAATTAAAATAAATTTTTTGTATAACATTTTGACTAATATTTTTCCATTTGCTCGCGTGAACTTGACGCCTTTTTTTAATCTTTTCTTGAAAAGGTTAATTTTTTAGGGATAGTTATAATATAAATTAACATTAATAATATAAATAGTAATTGTAATTATTATATATAATAGTAATTATAATTATAGCTATTTTGTTCATAATAATTGTATTTTATTTATAATAAAATGGAAAAATAAGTATATTAGTTCCCGTGTTTACTGATTTGCTCATCATTGATGAGATAAAACGTGTGGCAGCGTGTGGCTGAACTAGCAAGGCTCAGGCGAGCTCTTGCCAAATGAAGAGTCGCGGGTTTAAGTCCCGTTAAGGCCAGAATTTATTTCTGGCGATAAAGCCGCCTTCAGGTGAAATATGATATGGGGAATGGATTGTCAAAAAGAGAAAAGAATTGGAGCAGAACTTATAGGACGAAATTATGTATCGGGCCTAACGGACATAATTCGTGTCCACTTTCTCGGGTGACGCGTTAAGCGTCAGGAATGTGCCCGTCGAGGCTTAGTGGTCGCTCTCAGATTTTTCTCTGATAGTAGTATATCTGTGTAGTCCGGATACGAATCATATCAAGGATATGAAGGCTATTTGCTACGTTTGTTACCGAGCGTAACAATGTAGTTTATGTTTTCACTTTCTCAGGGGACGCATCAGGACATGCGTCTGCTGAAGTAGGATGACCGCTCTCAAGATTCTCTCTCATACCAAATTTAACCAATATGGATAATGGATTTTGTGTACTTATTGCAATCATTTGTTCCATGATCGCTAGATACAGAGCAACTGCTCTAATACAACTTCTGGAAAATTATATTTATCTTAAAGCATAATACCACTTTGACGACTAAAAAAAAAATATTTGGGAATTTTTTTCTCGAAAACTAGAAAAGCTATTAACATGCTATTGTAATTTTTTATTTTATTTATTGACTTTTTAGCTACATAATCATATTTTTTTACTTACAAAAATCTTTTTGTCTGCCTGTTATTTTAAATTCAAAATGGCGCCTAAAAAACCGGGGGCCTGTTGATGTGCACGATAATTCTCCTTCAAGATATCTGAAACAAAAAAGTCAAAAAGATTCTTAATCTGTATATGAATGGCTATCGCATGAACTAAGATAAATTAATTTGGTAAAAAATTAACAAAATGGTGACCAATTAAACATTGAAAAAAATCGATTTTTTTTGTCCGTTTTTTTGCGATTTTAGCATGAAATTTTTAATATTTTGACTCGGTTCTAGTTCACGCTATAGCTATAGATGTATAGAATAAGCTGTTAAAATTTGAAAGCAATCCGATAAATAGTTTCTAAAAAAGCATGCACACCATATCGAAAAACGTTGTTTGAGCAAAACGCGTTAAAAGCTTTTTAAATCAAAAAATTGTCAAAAAAGTTATATACCTTTAATCAGCGATGCATCATACAATATGCCTTCTGCTTCTTCAAACAGACTCTAATCTGCAGCTTTAGCTTTTCTCCTGGTTGATCTGGCTTCATTTGAAGCTTCAGAGCTAAAGCGGTTGGCTAAGGCTGTTCGCTGCTCGTCACGCGTATCAACGAAACGCATGGCTTCTGGGTGGATTTTGATGCCCATTACCACTATAATTTTTAAAAAAGGAGCAAATCCTTCATTAAAAATACATGCTGCAATAAAAGTAGCGATTTCGAGTATAGTTTTACCGCAAAAAACGTGTTTTAGAGCAGGAGTTGAAACTCTCGTTGTTGTTTTGACGTGTTCAAATCCAGGCACATCTTCAATAAATCATCGGATGATAATTGTATCGCCCTCTAATGTATACCAATTACCGTAAAATTGTCGCTTTTTTAGACGACTAGCTCGGCTGCTTGATTCTCTGGTACCTTTCTTATCCATTTTTGTACAGAAAACGTAGGGAAATATTTCGAATTCCTTCATAAAACTTTGGAATTATTTTTGAATATGTTGTATATTTTTCAGAAATGCAATAAAAAAAGTTTTTTTTGAAGTCGTCAAAGTAGTATTATGCCTTAAATACAAATCATTTATTTTAATTCTTTCACTAATCTTAATTCTTTTCATCATATATTTAAATTATAGACAATATTAAAAATAATTTAAGTAACATTATCTTTTAACATACACACAAATATGCAAGAGATAAAAATTTATATTATTTTTAAAATTATGAAATTATTTGAAGATAAAAATTGATAAAAATTCAAAAAGAATATATTATAGATCTATAGTAAATGAACCTGTAAAAAACATTTTTTTATACTTTTTGTAATTTCAGCACAAATGATTTATGCACAAAATAATTTAAGTTTATTGTGCATGAAAAAAAAATTGTGTTGAAATACGATTACACATATCACATATTATTTAAATTTATCGTACGTAAAAATAAAAAGAAACCGAGAAGGAGAGACAAGTTGGTTGATAAAACAATGATATCAATTCAAGTATTATAGGTATATATTGTACGTTTGAATTAAATTATGCTCAAAAGAAAATTTGCACAAAATACAATGTACATTGATAATAAACATCACATACACACAATATTTTAATTTTTCAAACATTTATATTATATATATTATTACATATATTAAATATATTAAGAAAAAACAAAAGGGAAAATAAATTTTAGTTACAATTTATTTTATTACATAATCATTAATATAGATATATTATATAATATTATCACAGCTTATTACTATTATTGTGTTTAATAAATTTTCGATATATATTTATTAAATTTGATAATTGAAAATGTAAGATACACTGGTATTATGAATGTTAATATAAATATTTTCAAGTTTTATTCATATTATAACAAACAAACTCTTTCCAAGTAAAATATATTATTAATAGTTATAACTTTGATTTATAGTATGATATAACAGATATAACTTTAAATGCTAAAATGTAATCAATATATAACTTTTAATATAATTGACATATTATTAAGCAATAAAATAATAAGAATAATAGTGAATACTAAGTAATAAATGAACTTCATTCGTTTACTTATTGCAATAGATGAGCACATTACTGTTGCACATTTGATGTTATTATGATATAAATATATACTTGTATTGTTTTGTATATATACATATGATATATACTAGATTTTTTGAACTTTTTAAAATACTTTTACAAAGAATATAGTTATACAAAAAAAATATAAGCTCTTTTTATTAAAGTTTATTACCTTTTTTTATTAAAGTTTATATTTAATGTCAGTATAGGGGAAACTTTATTAATCTTACTATATTAATTTTTTTCAATTATTTTTAAAGTAAAATGTCAACTTTTTAGAATTCATTATGATAATATATGACATAGTATAATACGTCATTATTTTTATGCAAAACGTTATAGAAGAAACAAATTTTTAAATGAGAAGTTCAGAACTTTTTATCAGTTTATAGTGTACATATGTAGAACTATGAATTATATTATGTGTAAAGTATATTGTCTACAACTATTGTATGTAAAAAACCTTTATAAGGGAGCAATGTTAATTTTAATACTCTACAAAATAATATTCATAATTATATAAATTTTTCTTAAGGTAACTAAATTGTTAATTTAACTGTTTAAGATACATAATATAATTTTAGTCATAATGTTAGTCATCATTATATAACAAAGACATTTCAATATTAAACTGTTACATCTTTTAATATAATCTACAATAACAACTTTCTTTGTATTTTATGAGCCTATATAGATTGTTATATAGATTGCTATTTGATAATACATCTTTTAATAACAAAAAAGATAGAAACAAAAATAAATTTGTAAAATTAAATTTATCGATTTTTCTTATCGAAAGAAAAAGGTATATTATTTATATTCTTAAAAATATCTTATGTATATAAGAGAAAGATAGAATCTCTATTATATATATATATATATATATATATATATATATATATATTATTATTATTTATATATATGTTATAATCTGCTGAGTGAACCGCTTAAAGTATGACAAATAAATACTTTCAAATATAGTGATAATTTAACAACATTATTAGGCAAAGTTGCAATATTTTATAGCGTATAATTTTAGATATTGACTTTTTGTTATGTAAAATTAAAGAAAGATTAATGATACAATTTTCGTTATTTATGATTATCACTGAATAACTATGATCATTATTTATTTCAATGTGAATTGTGCAATTAGGCAAAAAAATATATAATCTTATTTCAAGAAACAAAAAGTAATAATCAACAGAACAAAAAAGTATATAATAATCTTATTTCAAGAAAAAAAAGTGATCCTGTAATTTTCTAAAACATTCTATAAAAAAGAATATTTGAACAGTGTATATACTCTACAACTATATAAAATACTACAACTTTATTTAACTATTTTTTTCATCAATATTTTTGAAAATATTTATTTGTCAAATTTTACACTTGTCTGATCTTATATATACTATTATATATAACATTCTATTGATATATAACACTCGCCTTTTCAATACTTATTTGTAAATTATTAAATAAGTGTTAACAATTAGTATAAATTCAATTAACATAAATTATCCAATTTACGTAATTATATAAATATTTATTTATAAATTGCACCAATGATATAATGTTATATATCTTACTGATATCTACTTTTGAAAACCATTGTCTCTTTAAACATTACAATTGCTTATGATGAATACTACTACTGTTATGATGAATGTACTCTATATGCTAAGTTCAAAGCTATGTTTTTGAAACAGTTGACATACAAATTCTAATGATACCTTTTCACCTTTCTAAAAAATTCTAATGACACCTTTTCACAAATATGAAATATATGACATACATATATACTAACAAAATAATTAAAGTAACTCGAGTTATAATGTATCTCTTATGAAATCTTGCAAATATTTTGTAATGCAATATATTATATATATTATATATATAATGTAAAATATGGGATCTCTATACATCCAAACTTAGTTTGCATTTTATACATTTAGAAATATAATCAAATAATAAGGAAACATAAAATATAAAAGTTTGGCAACTGTTTTATCCTTCAATGAAATGTAACATAGTACATTTTTTTTAGTATTTTCTCTACATTTTGTAAAATAATTTTATTATTTTACAAAAAGTATATGAAAATTCTGATTGAAAGCGTACTGTGTCTTAATTATAGTCATTATATGTATATATGTTTATACTTATAAAACCAAACATGCACATCTACACATTATTATTTAATTTTCCTATCTTGAATTTATTTCAAGCAGGAAGCATACCTATGTTTTGTAATGCAATGGCAAGTATAGATTATATTGTAGCCATATCCGATTTCGTTAAGTCCACAGAAATTGTGTGACTTATTGTCGTAACATGTGCAGTCCCACTATTCTCACTATCACTGTTAACAATATTTAGCGACGAGATTTTAGCTCGTTGATACGCTACAACAGTGTTCAAACTCAAAAATCTGAAAAAAGCGATTTTAATTGTATAAACTGAACAATGCCAATGTTACAACTTTAAAAAAGGCTAGCATTTATTCTTACCTTATGCAGACATACATAATCAATAATGCGGTTCCGGCTGCGAACATTCTGATAATGGGTCCTTCTACAAGTTGAATAACTACCCATGCAGCAGCAGAAGACGCACACATCGTAGTAACAATAGCGATAGTTTGCAAACAATGGCGTGGAGTTAAACTATTTTGCCAATCTAATCGACTGGCATGTTCAACATTGTACTTTGTATTGCAAACTTTACAAATAAGGCTGTCAGCATTAACAGAACTCTAAAGAAGGGAAAAAAAACGTAAAAAATTACAATTTACACAAAATACATTGTATTTGAGAAGCAACTTTTATCTAAAATAAAACAATAACTATCTTACCTCGACGAGCCAACGACGTAGGCAATCATGATGTACAGCACTTACATCACCCCTACAATGGCATGGTTGTATTAGTGGACCAGCATCTTGTCTGTCATTGTCATAACAAATCCAACAATCCTTGCTATTAATCGATGTCCCATCTGTGGGAAGAAATGCAGTATCTTGAGATGCATTCTTTTCTTGCAATTCAATTTCTTTTATATGTTTTCCCTGATCCAGATCCAATCTTTTCAATATACGCTTCGGATTTAGAATCCATAATTGTTCCGGACTGAAATAAAAATGAAAAAAGATGTGAATATACTATTAAAAAAATTTTATATGTGCATAAAAAAATATAGCTCACATACCTCATGCAGTTCCATAAAACACAGGGAAACCACAGCGCTACACCAACTTCAATAACACGAAATACAACATCATGCCAATTCCTGCTGTACAATGGCACTCTAAAAACATAAGAATAAATTGTATAAGTTGAGATAAATTCAAAAGATTGTGCATAATTTACATATATAAAATATATATTTTTCTCTTTGTTTTCTTACTTTGTTTTCCAAAATTCACTGAGAGTCTCACTGAATAGAAAACCAACAATTATGAACAACATAAAGGCTTGAGAAAGTAATCCAAATCTTGATTGATGTAATTGGGATGTATTCACTTGTTGCATATGTAAAGGCTCTGTCGTAGATGTAGATGGAATTGGATCAAATAATTTTGCTGTCACTTGATCCTCAGCCTGGATCTTTGCTTCATCAGCTGTACGTTTATTTGTTGCAATGGAAGCGACTCGATATTCATTTAAGAATCCACCACGAACCTAAGTTAAAAATATCATAAATAACAAGAATGAGAGTTGTAATATAAAATATTACAATATAAAGAAATATACCTTGAAAAATACTTCTACTCCATATATCAAGAATAAAACCACTACAATGAACAGGAGCACTGCATAACAGCCATTGAATACATGTGTATAGAAACTCTAGAAAATAAAAAAGGATTTAATAAGTAATTTTATTTTGATCAAATATGCATATCATACATGCAAATCAATGAATTATTGTAATAAATTACTCTAATTATACTTTCCATTCTATTGCTTACTTGATCTTGTTGTGAATATGTTTGAGCTGTAATAAATTCTGCTAATAGAAGGGAATATGTTATTATGTTGAAGACAACAAAAGCCAGAAAAGATTTTGATAAAAACTGAGGTTTGTCCCATCGAATGTCTCTAAGATGAAATACCTCAGCCCAAAAACAAACAATCAATGATGATCCACTTAAAAGCAATGGATAATATGCTGACAGTAAAGATCTGGACCAGCCTTCTTTAAAAGCAGTCTGTAGAAAAAGTAAAAATGTATTAAAATATATATGAGAGATACTTTTTCTAAGTATAATAATTATCTGTATATACCGGTGATGTGAAATATGCGCCTCGTATAATTGATGCAAGAAAAACCACAAAGTATAACACTTTTTGAGTAGTAACCCTACATGCTCTCAAAAATGATGGTGCCTTCATTCTTTGCCATTCAGCGACAATACACATGACAAGTTGTATCAAACAAACAAAGGCTAATAAAAAAAAGATTGTAGCAAAAGCAACATAATAGCTTAGATTTGGAATATGGCATTCTGGTCCATCAAATTGAATCTAAAACCGAATAAAAATTCGATGAAATTTATATATAATTTTGGGACAATTTAATGTAGCAAACAAAATTATTACCTCGCATAAACAAGTTCCATTGTGGCATTCTCCATGACCAGAACAATTTTCAATCCCACAACTGTTATTCCAAGCCATCATACCAAATTTAACCAATATAGATAATGGATTTTGTCTACTTATTGCAATCATTTGTTCCATGATCGCTATACAGATACAGAGCAATTGCTCTGATACAACTTCTGAAAAATTATACTTATATACTTAAATACAAATCATTTATTTTAATTCTTTCACTAATCTTAATTCTTTTCGTCATACATTTAAAATATAGACAATATTAAAAATAAGTAACATTATCTTTTAACATACATATAAATATACCAGAGATAAAAATTTATATTATTTCTAAAATCATGAAATTATTTGAAGATAAAAATTAATAAAAATTGAAAAAGAGTATATTATAGATCTATAGTAAATGAACTTATGAAAAACATTTTTTTATACTTTTTATAATTTCAGCACAAATAATTTATGCACAAAATAATTTAAGTTTATTGTGCATGACAGAAAAATTGTGTTGAAACACGATTACACATATCACATATTATTTAAATTTATCTATCGTAAAAATAAAAAGAAACCGAGAAAGAGAGACAAGTTGGTTGATAAAACAATGATATCGATTCAAGTATTTTTATAGGTATATATTGTACGTTTGAATTATATTTTGCTCAAAAGGAAATTTGCACAAAATACAATGCACATTGATAATGAAGATCACGTACACTTAATAGTAGAAATTAGTTCTTCCTATCGGGAAAATGGGTTTCTTCCCCATTAATATCAATCAATATTATGTGCGTATATATTGTGCAGGCCTTGCCGTGAGTACAAACTAAGTACAAGCGTACGGAATGACGCGAGGACGAGTGTCGCGTTACATTAGTCAGCTGTCACTGTCGGTCACTGGTCATTGTTGGTGTTGGTCACTGGTCACTTGCTTGTTCTGCGCAGCGAAACGTCGCGTCAAGTTACGTATCGACCTCAATTCTTCAGAGATGTAGTTTATCAAAAATCAATCGTGTCCGAACAATTACGTCGAATGAAAAATGAAGAAACTTTTTTCTTATTAAGCATTTCGTCCAGCTTCCAATTTCTTTTCGATGATAAATTCCTCACTCGAGAGTTCACCTAATTTCGATCATAAAACAACCATCGACGACGTAAACGGAATGTCTGATTTCGACGCATTAAAACCGACTTGTCCAACTCCCTTGCCAATGATCTTGATTTGTCGACTGCATCCAATTTAATAAGGATTTTTGTTACATACCTATCTATAAAAAATTATGTACACTCGATGGAATGTCCATGTTGTCGTCTTTAAAATGTGGAAAATACAGGAAATGCAAATTTTTTAAATTTATATTACCTTTCTCAGTTAACTTTTAATTCCTTTTTTTCTCACTTTAAACCTTCATCACATGTTTCTACAAAACACAAAAAAAGAAACATGAACAATTTAGTATATTTATTTAATTTGCTTTTTTCTAAAAACTCAGATTTATCACATTTTCTTTCCCCAATTAGGCTGCGTTCGGAAACATTATCTGAGTGTACTAGGGTTTCATTTTATCCTTGTTTAACATTCGGTGAACAACAGGGATAAAATGATACCCGGGGGCATTCGGGTGATGTTTCCGAACGCAGCCTTACACATTAATCTCATTTTAAATACAAAAAATTCCGAGAAGTGCAAGCAAACGAACAGACCTAAGATCTATCGTGCTTTGGAAACAGGTCTGAAGTATAATACTGACATATTTGACGTCACTATCAAATATTGTGGCCGACGGTCGATATCTATCTTATTGTTGAAATTGGTCGAAATATTCATTAGATTCAACTGCGTTCAGCTCTTTAGTAGACATAAACGAAATTATTCAAGGCAAGATATATTTTTGATTTAATTAATATAATCTTTAGTTGGACTCATATATAAAACCTTCTCTAGAGAACTACTGAATTCACTAAGTGTATCATGAAGCATTATATAATATATATTCCGTGTCACATATAGTATAGAATATTACATTATTTAAATGTAAACTGTATATTGTAACACTTTTATAAGTCCCAAAAATATTTCAACCGTTATATCTCTTAGAAGATTGAAAGCTATGCACTTCTTGCAACTTTATATCAAAAAGTGATAAAAATGAGTGCTATATCTTATATTTAATAGTAAGATATTCAATATTAATCGACAACTTTGAAATCCCAATATTAATGACATTTGTCTAAATAAATGAATCTGAATAAAAGATTTTTTATATGAATAATTTTCAGATGTCTGCTCAGCTGGCAAAACCAAAACTGCGTGCTCTCTATGCAGCACAGCTTAAAAGGAATATTATAGCATCAATAACAGCTGGTGTCATCATAGCGGGATTGTTCAAAGTATTTGTCTGTGATAAAAGGAAACAGAAATACGTCGATTTCTACAAGTATATATTATAATTTTATGTAAATTGTTATTATTCTATAATTTTATCTGTAAATTATTGCTATTATTTTACAATTTCTTTTATAAATTATTGCTATTCAATAATTTGTGTAATATAAATTATTGCTATTTTATAATTTTTTCTAATTTCATTAATACAATAAGAATCGTTATATATCTACACGATCTTCAAATTATTCAGGTACATCTCTAAAATTTTTAAAATTACTTTGCAGGACCTACGACCCAGAGAAACAATTAAAAATAATGAATGAAGCTGGTCTTATGCAGTCTTATATACCTAAATAGATGATTCATAAATTATTATAGAGGCAAAAACTTAAAAAGATGTAAGAAAAGAAGTAGTGTTCTTCAAAATGATACATTATATAATAAATAAACTTAATATAGAATTATACATACATAAATTTTTCAGTACAGTATTACGAGCTAGTTTTACTTCAGTCGATTATTAACTTTAAATTTAATTTAACTAAATTTACATCTTAAAATATTTCGGAGAGCAGATTATGATGCAATATGTACAAATATGCTCTCGTAAAAATTATTTCAATGATTTTATTTCATTGGCTTTGCACCCAGATTTATGGGAATTTTTGAACTTTATGATATCTTAGGTATGTAAAAATATTTAGATTTATCCAATTTAAATTGGAACTTCGCAACAGCCTTAATATTTAAATATTCTTTTTAAATGTAAATTATAATAATTCTAATTAAATATAAATGACGGTACTAGGCATGATAAGCGCAATTATCCGTATGTTACATGACGGAAATTGACATGGAACCGCGGCAAGTGTCAAGCTAACTCGACGATACTTTGCATTCGCGAGAAAGCGAATCGGGAGCGTTTGGAGGTTAGGGGACGTATATCACGTATACGAACCATAGACGAAGCAAAGCGATCGGCAAGATGGCGCGCCTCGTAAAGTACCCAGCGTGCCCCGCGCGATTGATTTGCGCATGTCAGTTGTACGCATTGCAAATGGCGGCACCTTGTTATTGTTCATGGCGTTTTATGACTTGTCTCTTTATATTAGCGATTATGTCGAGTTTTTTCGCGATCCCTGCCGCGCGCTGTGTGCTGAGAGTGAAATAAGGGCCGCGCGGTGTGTTTCCGACTAAGATCAGTGGCCGGGCGGTGTGGCTCCGTGTTGTACGGACGCGTGAAATCCCGCACAGTGTCGGAAAGAAATGGGGTAACGTTGAAATTTTCCTGTGTTCATACGGTATCAAATCGGCGCTGTGCGCGACGGCTCAAGCGAGGTCCGCTCCGACCGAGTCCGTTTGGGCCGCCGCGGATCCGCGCGACCGCGTTAGTCGAGCGCGTTTATGCGCCGTACGTAACGAACGCGGCTCGGGAATAAAAATAATTCTTCGTCGGTTTTGACGGTGCCTATCTTTGAGCATGCTTGAGCCCACTTCACGTACACCTCCTCCGACGGACAAAATGGTGGGCCCCCCCCGATATCCGATGGTCTGGATGCCTTATTTCGAGGAAAATCGTTACGTTGACCGCCGGGACGGCCGTCTCGCGCCACGAAACCGTCGATCCCCGTCGACGCGCACGTCCGCGTTTCGCGCCCACCTAAAAAAATGCTATCTATAACCTATTTCCTAACGTTGTTCGAGCCCGCACGGGTGCCCCCGCGGCCGCTTGTGCACCCGTGGATTTTAATTGCCGTTCGCGAACGGTGAGACGGCCTATCCGGGACCGCGAAGCGGTTACGTGCGCGCTTACGATCGGCGAAATATCGACGGGAGGGTCCACCGGCGTCCAGGATCCGCGGACGGAAATCGTTCGGGGCTTTCCCGGAAATCGCGCACAAATTATAACCTAGTAACGCTTAGTGGGCCTCACTTTTTGTTTATGCGCCCATGTTTTTGTCATTTTCTTGCCGTTCTCGCACGATCAGCCTTATCGATTGTATAGTAAATAATATCTTTCCGACAAAGTCCTCTGTCTCTCTCTCTTGTGTCATTGTCATTAAATATTATTATCTGTACAAAGTATGAGTGAATTCTGTCTTGAAAATTTTTCTCCTTTTTTTTCTTTTTTTTTTTTTACGCTTAATAGAGATTATATTCATCGTATGTTTTGTAAAATTGTAACGTACGTGCACACGCGTAACAGGTACATTATTAAGTACATTATTATAAAAATTACGATATTCTTGATAAGATGTGTGCGTATATATATGTGTGTCATATTTTACATTACTGACAAAATGTGCTAAAGAGACCCGTGGCATATAAATATATGGTATGTATAAAATTGTTTTCCTTCTTTTTTTCGTTATTGTTTGGTTTTGGTATTTATAATCTAAATATTAGTTGCAAGAATAAAGTTGAAAAATTTATATTATCTTCATTAATAATTCATTAATTATATACGAATGTTACATATATTTGATATGTTTATTTTTTATATTTATTTAATTAAAATTCTGGGCTTTAAAAATTTTTCTGCAATATAATGCAAACTTGCTGTTTTTACAATTTTGTGCATTTTATTAGATACATGATACATTTAAATACACGCACATATCTTTTTAGAGGCTCTAGAATGATTAAAGAAGAGACATTTAATTGATACATTTTTATATATCGATGTTGTATTGCAAATTATTATATTTTGCTAATACAAACACACACACACACATATATATATATATAAATATATATATATATATATATATATATATATATAAAAGGAATGTAGTGTTACCTAACAATATTATTTACTGTACATTGATGTTATATTACACAAGAATTTGTTTTAATTAATTTGTTTTTTATATAATTTAATTACTCCAATTTTCAATTTGTTTGACAGTAAACAAGATTAGTAGTATCGGTGTGATTTGGGGCTGTCGCTGTACAATTGATACACGACATCTCATCATCACACACACATATTGGAGCAACACCCTGAGGCGTTCCTAAACTCTCTGGGTAGTTATGTGATTTGTGATTGGTACGTATATATTTTATTATATACAAATATTATGATTTCTATGCAAATTGTGCTTATGTGGTAAATTCAAATAAGATATTATAATTATAATTGATTATCATTTTATTGAACATTATATCAAATAAACTTTAGAATTGAAACTTAAATTCTGTAATTTTGAATAATTAAATTTATCTGACAAATATATATATTACTTTTTGATGACATTAATAAAAGAAAACAGAGAGAGGTGGGGATAGAAAGAGAAAAGCAAATAAACATTTCTGCAACTTAATTAATTTCTGTTTATAATTTCTTTTTAATGACTTTTCAATGACTTTTTAATGAAGAATTTTATATATCTATAATTTGTATATGTCTATAATTTTTTTTGTATTATATATAATTTGATTTTTATAATATCACATTCACAAATATTATATTAGTATTATTTCCTACTATTTCATTATTTTAAAACTTAACAAGCATTGAAATTAATTTTATTATTATTATTATTATTATATATTTTATACATACATACATACATACATACATACACATACATACACATACATACACATACATACACATACATACACATACATACACATACATACACATACATACATACACACACACACATACACACACACACACACACACACACACACACACACACACATATATATATATATTATACACTTACTATTATTTTCTATTACATAAAGACAAATTTATTATTAAAATAATATCAATAATGAATATTACAGTCATGGCGGCAGATAGTGATGGTGATCTGATTGAGACGGTGGTAACGTGCGAGGGTGATCTTACAGATCCAGAATTTCCTCAGAAATTTGAAATTATTGTCGACCGTCTTAACGCTTTGCTTTGCAAAGGTAGACCAATCAATATAAAGTTTAATGATTCAAAATATTTTATATCAATAATGTAATGTTTTGTAATGTTTTTAAATAATATAATATTAATAAACAGACTACATTTAATTTATGTATTTTACAATTTATAGAAACAGGAGATGGGTTAAGAGTAAATAAAGTAGAACCATGGAATTCTGTCAGAGTAACATTTTCAATACCCAGAGAAGCTGCTCTGCGACTTCGAGAGCTAGCAGCTCAAGGCTCTCCAACGCTTACACAACTAGGAATACTTTCAGTGCAGGTCGAAGGAGATCAGGTAATTTATATAATAAATATCTAATTATATATTTGTTTATGATATATTCTTATATCATCTTATCATAATAATATATATTTTCTGTGAATTTTTATGATCAAAAAATATTAAGAAGTTATTTTTTATATATTATTATTTATATATTATTATTTATATATTATTATTTTTTTTCTACAGGTAATATCTTTAAGGATAGCCAGTCGCTTTGGTGGAGATGCACAAGAAATTGTGTTACATTCTGGAACTACACAAGATGGTGGAGCAAAATCACAAAACGATGTTACTAATACAGCTACTGTTGATGCTAATCCTTCAACTGCTTTGCCTGGTCCCAGTAATAATTCCACCAGCATTTCGTCAGCACTACGCAATGTTGCTCAGATAATAGCAGCTGGTAAGCTCCTATAAATTGTAAAATAAATTGATGAAAACAAGTGAGCCGAGTTACACATATGTAAATTTCTTTCTTTCTTTTTTTTTTAGGAACATCGTCGGAAAAAGCTCCACAATTTCGTTCTCCAAATGTAGTTGCACCTACTGACTGTGATCCTATTCCACCGTTTCTTGCAAAATCAGTTCAATCTACATCAACAAGCAATGTTGGTGTTTCTGGAAGCCAGCAAGTAGCTAATTCCAATGCATCGCCTAGGAACAACTACAATGGTCCTTTCCCATTTGCCAGTATGACACATGCTGCCCAAGCAATACACAATCGTGAATCGCAGATTACAACAATTAAAAATACGATGCAGTTCAAGCACCATGCGCAACCGCCGCCGCCGTATCCATCTCAGGAAAATTTGGCGACGGTTACGGCATTGACGACCGGTCATACGGTCACTCAACCGGTCGTTACTGTTGGACAATTAACGAATCAATACAAGCCCACGACGATTGCTACAACATCTAGTCTGTCACCAAACAGTACCAATCTGGCAGGGAGTTCGAACGTTAGCGGAAATCAGGTTGCCCTGTCCAGTCCATTACTCGTGAATCTTTTACAAAATGATGCTGGCTCACATGCAAATAACGTCGTACCTGGTCAGAAGATGTTACCACCGGCTGTTACCGACAATTCTGGACTTACCAATCGTATGAGACCCACTAAAAAACCTACAGTTAGAAGGAAAGATCTCCCATCGCCCAACGAGTCGCCACCAAATTTAGATACTTTAAGAAATGAAGATTTGATTGGAGGAACGGCGACGACAACGACGACGACAGTTATTCCTGATTTATCTCAAACTTCTACATCGTCGGCATTCGCAACTGTCAACGCTAATCAACCGTCGTCGCTTCCACCGCAACAACATACGGTTAATGTAATCGGCGGTAGCACCGGACAAAACATGATGCCGCCTCAAGCAGTGCATCAAGTGCCTCCCAGTGGACAGATGCAACAGCAAGCTACGTCGACTTTACACAATCCAGTACAAACTCAACAAAAGTTTCCCAACATTAGGCAAGAATTATCTTACAGAGCTTCACAGATACAAATGCAGAATCAACTTTCTGCTAGGCATCCGGTAAATGGACAACAAATTAGAACACCTTTACAACAACGCCAATTATTATTCCAACAACAACAACAGCAGCAACAACTTCTTACACAACAAATAAATCAACAAATTGTCCCACAAGTCTCGACGACGCAGCAAGCTCTACTTCATCAGCAAAATATAAACACGTCGTTACACACTACATCTCTTAACAATCAGTCACTATTACAACAACAACAAAATCAGCAATTGCTACAACATTCGACAATAGGCTTAAGCGTTCCGCAACAACGGCTAGGTTACTTAAACAGTCAACGTCAACAAACCCCGTCGCCCTATCCGAGACAACCGGTCCCGCAGCAAACGCATTTAAGTCAACCAAATCAGGCTCTCAATGTACAACAACAACTGCATCACAATCAAGTGAAAAACATGAATATCAATACTAGCGCGAGTACTGATTTTCGTTATGGACAGAGCCAAAATATCCTCAGTAGAAATTATCAGTCTCCCTCAACGAGCAATGCTAATGGGACCACATGGAATGCACAGAGCAATTCTATTCCGCAAGGTGCTCAAGTCAACACCACACGTCTGTCAGTCTCGAATCAGGTTTCAGGTGCCTTTCCTCAATGTGGGTCTCATATAAATAATTCTAATGCAGCTAGCATTGCTTCGTCGCCCGTTATTAAAACAGAAACGTCCGAATCTTTGAAACCGGAAAAAGAGGATCCGGAACCAGAACCGGAATACACTTCAACCGGAAAGATACGACAATTTTTAATCAATCCTTTAACAGGACACTTGGAACCGATGCCCAGTGAAAGTTCAGATTCAGAACCGGAGAGTGCAGTAGATAATCAAGACGACTTCTTCTCCTTTCCATCTCCGTCAAACGATAGATCAAACTCCATATTTTCTGACGACGATGCGGACAGCAATTTCTCAAGAAGAAACGACACTACGACAAACACGGATCAATCTGATTCCGAGACAACGGCCAAATCCACGGCCAGCGAAGGAAGCTTAAAGCATAGTAGAATAAAATCTAGCAGAGAGACCGCGCATAGTCCGATGCCAGGAGAAAAAATCAAACTAAGATTAAAATTGGAAAAATCCGAGCCCGTTACACCGGCTTACAAAGTTGACGTTTCTTTCGTGAATACGCCGCCCATGCGAAAAGCTGATAAAACCATGAATAAAATTTTCACAAGTGGCGTTCCAAGTACAGGAAACGGTGATGAACCACTCCGAGTGCCTCCGTTACACATTTCTTTAAGAGGACGTAACGCTTCAGTAGTACAAAGAAAAAAAGAAAAGAAGTCTCTGAAGGGTGATGGTGAGAGTGATTTACTCAAGAGGAGAGGTAAATTGAAGAAGATGAAGGAATGTATCGATGGGAATAGGTTGCTGCAAAAGAAATCACCATTGAGTATGATCATAGGCACATCATCTGCATCAAAACTACCTTTGTCCAACTCGACAATGATAAACAGTGCTAATACCGTTTGCAAAATGGGTAATATGCTGCAAACTGTTATGGCCAAACCCAATGCCTTAAAACAAGAACTACCAGTGGATGCCGTACGACTACAAACTGGTACTATTACTAAGCCATGTTCGAGTAAGAACAGTGATGTAGATGATATACCACTAAATAGTAGAATACCGTCTCCCTCAAAACATAAATCTGCGATTGTAAATCAATCTTTAAATACTCCACAAGTTTTAACAAAGAGTCAAGTGGATCTTGATGCACAAAATCACATGCAAGAATATAAAATAGGCGGAGGTGAGAGAAAAAAATCTATTCAATATTTACATATAATTTAATTATCCCTTTTTCCTCTAATTTATATGTAATATGTTTTTATTACAGGTAAAACAAAAAGAAGGGATTCTAAGAAGAAATCAGAATCTGGAGATGGTTTACATCGGGAACAAAATCTTTTGTCAGGAGGTCGAATTTTAGATAATCAAATGAAATGGAGAAAGCTTGGCTATAAGGGTGATACAACCCAATCAATAAAAAAATCAGACTCACTTTTAACTGGAAGTGATTTTAATACAGTCAAGAAAGTTGGCGAAATTCGGAGAACGAGCGATAGCGACATTAATAAATCAGCAATTGAAAAAAGTAATTCATTGACTAGTGTTGCTCCCAGATTAACAGAACTTAATGGTATGAAGAAAGACTTAATAAGTCAAGACAAGAGAAGGCGATTAAGTTTAATTGATGAAAAAGATCTGCATTTAGGAGGTAAAAATATATATTTTTTTCTATTTTAATATAGCATTTATAAAATTTATATATTTATGGGTAAAGGTATATATGGAATAATTAACTATTGAATATGTTGTAGAATCTCCAAATACAGAAGTTACACATTTTAATAGTCAGAAGGCAGTTTCTGAATGTTCTGGAAGTACAGTACCAAGTGTAAAAACAAATGTCAGCCTATCCTTCGAGAGCGATTCTGGTTTAAAATCGACAAATTCATCGGTGCAACAGGCCGACTCTAGGAATATATCTAACAACCCTGATAATAAGATACCTGTACACACAGAAACTACAACAAAAATTTCTCAATCTGTGGCAAGAATACTTTCTGTCAAGTGTAAATCTGATAGGGAGAATTATATCGCCACTGTCAAAAGTCAAAATATCGGTCAGCAGCTGAAAAATCATATGGTTGCCAAAAGTGAAGCAAATTCCATTCTGAATAGACACAATAAAACAATCGAACAGTTGAGTTTTAGTCATAAGAAGACAATTCAAAACCATGTTGTAAAACAACAAATCGATAGACCGACGACAGATAGCAAAATAGATAACGCGTCACAAAGAATTAGTTTATTGAAGACTACATCAGGTAATACAGTAATCGGTAATTCGGTGGACCAAGTCTCTAGATCCCAGAACATTGATACACCTGCAACTAAGCCGATCTTGCCTATCGGTGAGATAAATGTGACTGAAGCAAAGGTGAAGCAAAAGTTACTCGAAAATACAACAGTACCTATTGGGATCGGTGTTGACGCGAATATCGAAAGAGTCGGCAGCAGCGGAGGTGGCGAAGACTCGGGCATCGAGTCGATGGATGCTCTTTCGGAAAAATCACCAAACCAAGGGGAGTCACCTTTGCATAGGCCGGCATCGGCAACCGAATCAGTGACACAGAGCAGCGCCAAGAATGTAATACAGGGGGAACCCACCTTATCAACCACCAATAAGAACGTGCCTTCCTCAACTAGTAGTAGTGATATGTGTTCAAATTCCCATTCGGAACTTCTCAAGTCCAGTGGCCCGCAAAGGTTAAGTCCTGTGTCTGTAGCGAGTTATCTTGAAAACCAGTTAAATCGCAATATATCAAACTCCGGTGAGCATGACACAAAGAATGTGTCTAGTGAAAAATCGTCGACAATTCCGAGAACTGGACAAAGTGATTTGATGGCTAGTTTAGATATAGGAAGTAATGACAAAAGTGTGTCCAGTCCTTTAGTGACGGGAACAATGACTGTTGTGACAGCATCTATAACCAGCAGTATGAATAGTGATAATAACTTATTGCAATGTGCACATCAACAAGCAAAAGATTTTTCTGATAAGGATAGTTCTAGTGTTAAATTAGAGAGTACTGTTAACCAAAATGATCAGGGTAAGGCAAACTCTAAGCATGAAGACTCGAGAGCTGCGGAAAGCGTATCTGAAGACAGTACGAAAGCGATTGTAGAAAGTAACAGTGCAATTAGATTAAGTGATGAACCTCACGGACAGAATAATAATAATAATAACAATAACAATAATAATAATGATGGTGTGCCTATAATACAAAATCACGTTGCTTATAATAGTAAAGTTGACACGATAAAACTCGATAGTGTGCTTGCAAACAATACTAACACGGCGACGGATAATTCTTGCTCGAACAATGAGAATTGCAATCTAGAAATCAAAGTCGAATCTAAAATTAACGTAAAAGTGGACGATACTAGGCAAACTGATCGGTTCGAGGTTTCAAAAAATGGTAACATTTCACTGAATACAAAATCCGTCAAGTTAGAAACGTGCACCGAACAAAATCAGAAGTGTAATGTACAAAGTCACCAGAGTCAGATCATGCTCAGAGAATCTTCTGTAAATCTACAAAAAGTGACAGACGATTTAGTCAAAAAGATGGTTAATGATTCGAGCGAATTGAGCGTAAGTGGTATCCAGTCACCTCTCGGCGAAGATCCGCAGCCTATTAGGATTACACCACCATTGTACACGTATTCCAATCCCGTTGTTCTGCAACGAGACGAAACTCCAAGTCCGGCAGCACAGAATCCTGAAGTAGATTCTAGCGATGTGGAACATCTCAAGCGTAAACGCAGAAGGAAACAGGAACTCGAGGGACGACAGGATATCATATGCATAGAGGATAACGATGAGGGACATTTTGTGGAGAGGCTAAATTCTAACAATTCGGAGGAATATATCAAGAGACCGCCCAAGTCATTGCTGGAACAGCTTCTAATAGATATTCCAAATGATAACAATGAGAAGAGATCATTAAGAACCAGGTCGCAAAAGTTGAATAGTCCGGATATTGCAAAAACTCCGAAAAGCAGCCCCCACGGTCCTAACAAATTAGAGGAACGCCGTAGTATATCACCCTACGCGAAAGCAAGTCCGAAATTGGCGGTATCGAAACTGTCTCCTAACGCGACAATAAAAATAGGGAAACGGAAAAGACAAGAAAGCGAGAGTTCCGTTGCATCGAGCACAGCCGACGATCCACAGCCAAGACCAGGTAAACGGAAATGCTCAGAGAATGCAGCAGAACTTATTAAAGCTTGCATGGGTGTAGAAGAGGCTGGTTCTATAAAGAAACAAGTGCCTGGCAAGGAAGAGCAATCAAAGAAGGGGTTCAACATATTGACAAAAGCTAAGAAAGGTGTTTATTTATTTCTTATGCTACTATTTCTCCTTGTGTAGATAGTAGTTGATGAGTTTCTTTTTTTATAAACTTGTTTTTTTTTATCTGAGTTATCTTTCTGATTTTTTATCCACATATCTTCCTACATATACAGGCTGTTTAGTTGTTAGCGCATCAAGTAATGATTGATTTTTTTTTTTTTTTTACAAACTTGAAGATGCATGAATATTTTTATAGCGAAAATCTTATGAATAATAATCTAATTTTAAATGAATAATTATCTAATTAATAATTAATAGGAATAATTATCTAATTTTATGAAGATTTAAACAAGATTACAATTTATCCTTCTCACATAATAAGCATGTATTCATTATATTAAAATATAACAAACCAAATAGTCTTTCATAAAATTTTCGCTAAGGAAATCCTGAATTCACTATGGAATTTCTCATTATCAGCTAATGTGGTAGGTGGACACTCTGTATTATTATATAATGATTTTCAATCTGTATATTCGATCTGTAGATCTATAGATTTTATATATGTAACAAATTAAGGACTGCCAAAAACAGGACTGTTTATATGCAAATTAAGATATACTAAAAAGATTTATTGATATTGAGAATTATTGTACTAAAATCGTGAAAGAGAAAGAAAAAAATTAAGCTTATATTATTAATATATGGAAACTGTTAAATCAACTATGCATAAATATAATTCAAATTAATAATTTATTGAAATGAGACTGATTTTAAATATTGCAGTATTTAACTATCTCTCAATTTCATTTTAATGTATTCTTCTAATTCATCTATCTCTCATACTTGTCTGATACATAATACTTGGGCCAGACTTATGTGACATGAGCGTTTTTTTATATTTTTAGGTCCCATTGTGGTAGAAGTAGATTCGTCTGATGACGAACCATTGATTGAATCTGTAGGAAAAGCAAGAGTTCGATTGTCAGATGAAACATCCGCTGCTTCCCCAAAGCCTAAAGATCAAAAGTAAGCAACACTGATGCATTCTTTTATGAAGCCCAAAAAATAAAAATAAAAAAGAAAAAGAATATCTCAGAGATTTGAGAGTTTTACTACATAAGATAAGCTTTTATTACTTTAGAGCGAGTTTAAGCTACAGCTGTTTCTGGCAGTCAAATTAATTCCAGTAATATATTAAATTTCAATGCCAATAATAGAGTGCAAAGAGAGAGCCGTTTATTAACTACCAAGCAGCCGAGTACGGCTATGGCGACGACGACGACGATGACGGCAACGACGACGACGACGATGATTACGATGACTACGATGACAACGACGATGACGACGACGATGACGACGATGACGACGACGATGTCAGCTGCGGTGGTGGCGACGACAACGGCGGCAGTTACTGTCGGGAAGGAGAGATTACGAGGCACTTCTGTATCTAGCAACGAGTCTGTGGGCGAAGTAACGACAAGAAGATCTGTACGGCAGAATACAGCTTCACCGCTAGCTACACCAGCAAGCAATACTAGGGGTGCGTCTAGAACCTCAGACGATATTAACAGAAGGAAAACTCGTAGTGGTGCTGGTATGTAAGCGATTTATTTTAAAATAGCTCATCTATAAAAGACACTCGATCATATTCAATTTTTAGAGATTGCAAGTGTCAATTCATTATTTCTCGATAAGCATGTTGTTTATATTCTTAGGAAATATTTTACACACACGCACATACATTATACACACACACAAAATTTATTACTCAAATTATATGCAGAGTTTTTTTAATCTTATGCTGCTTTTTTTCCATAATTTTTAGTATGTTATATCAAATATAAAAAAAATTTACATCAAATATAAAAGATAATGATTATAGATGTTAGCTGTATATTTTGCATACTATTTTAATTGAAAACATCTCGTACAGCGGGCAAACATTGTTTTAGTAACAGCGGAGACGGCGGAGCAAGCGAAACGGAGGCGAATATCCCGAGAAAACAAATGACCTTCGGGAAGTGACCTTGACAGTGATTAGCTACCGTCGCTCGTCAAGGCCTATCATCTGTCTGATTATAAATCCGACATAAACGGGTATTTGATCGCCGTGTGGCTGGATCCCACCTGGTGAAACTGTATGCGTCACATTAGCGCACAACGTTGCTGTATATGTATCGGGAGTATTGTGTCAAAAAAGAAATGCTAGACGGTGTGTGAAAGCATTTTGTGCTTTAAAACATTTGTTGGCTGCTAGTTAAGTTAGTCATACATGAAAGATAGTACTTTCCAATTTTTTTCTTGCTCGTTCTTCACATTTTTTCTTTTCTCTTTCTTTCCATCTTTTTCTTTTCTTTAGCTTATAAGAATTATGTTGTTATGACATTTAAAGAGAGTTTTGTATATTTAATAAATCATTAATTATAAATTGTTATGTTCTTAAATGTTTAAGAATAGCGAACAAAATAAAAACAATCTACTTTGATTTTTTTCTTTCACCGTCTAGCGTTTTCATTTATGTTGTACTCCTATAAACAGCAAAGTTTAGTTACTCAGATTTTACTTGCTCACAACGCATTATATACTATAATCTAAGTAACTGAACTAATTCAAAACTGCCGAGAGATTGTATGTAACTTTCTTTTACCAGTCAGATGTGTCATTCTATTCTCAATAACTAAATTTCATTCTTCAATGTGCAATTTTCTAACATTATCGTCTGTTAGATGTAAAACAAGAAACTTCGAGTTAGCTTTAGAAAGATTTAAGAAAATTAGAACTATTTATGTTTCGAGTATCATCTTCTCTCATATTCAATTTCTTTCGTTCATTGTATCACTACAAAATAGTAGCGGTAAAAGAAAGTCCAAATTTTTTAAGTGTCAAAAACGGGAATTTGACTGTACTGCCGTAAGTAAAATACATATTTATAAATATGTGGATAAATTTATGGTAACTGGTGGGGCTTATAGATTGCTACTCTGACGACTTTGCTGATAGACTCTGTTAAAACATATCTCTAATTTATGTATACATATTTATTTATTGTGTGTCATTTATTTGTTATAAAAGTTTTCTGTACATGCATGTGTATAAGCACAGTGTGCACATATATATATATATATATATATATATATATATATATAAAGTAACGGTATCATACGAATTTTTCGCACGAATTAGTTTTCGTCATATATTGTAAACTCAAGATAGTAGTAACATACTTATCTATGCAAAAGATAAAAACGTTTGAAATGTTAGTCTAATCTGGACAATTATATATCACGTGATTGCATTTTGGATATATTGAGAATTGTTCATCACATCTGAATATTGAGAGCAATGGATTTATACATTGATGTAATAAGAACAATGACAAATATGAAAACTGTTATTCATATTTGTAATTACTGAAACGTGTATATTTCTTTTAATCAACAATCTAGCAATTAAGTTTGTAATTACATTATTATATGTTTTCATTTTTCAAACTCGTCAAACATGGTCTTTCAGTAAGAAGTTCGTCTTGAGTTATATAATATTCAAAAATATTGGGGTATAGAATTTTTAAAAAAAGATTTATTTTATTCATGAAACATGAACATATACACAGTGAACGTTGGAAGATATGCATAAAGATGCGAAGATGATAAGAATAACTATTATAAGAAAACTAATTAATACAATGTTAATTTGATATAGGTAATATATGAATGAATATATTTTGTAAATAATTTCTTGTAAAGATGGACAAAGCACACCCTTTCTCCCTATTGTGTATATATAGAAACTGTTTAAATTTTTATTAAATTAGTAATAATTAAAGTATATCGTGCAAAAATAAAAATCGTAATTGTCATTATTATTATAATTATTCTCTCGCGTTTATGTAATTAAAATATACTTATTCTTCTTATACAAATTTAGAACTACATTGAATTATATGTGCATACGTATATACAAGATCTATGTATGTGATTTATATCGATTATTGTTTTTGTGGACAGATAATCTAGTTTTATATTGTATAAATATAACTTACACACATAGAGAGAGAGAAAGCTAAAGTATGTATGTATGTATGTGTAAAGTGCGTATGTGGCTGTGTGTATTACGCATGTATTGTTGAGAATTTACATTTCTAGCTAAGCCTGAGTAGTCATCATTGTGTAGCACTGTCCAAACATTTCATAAATCTATTATGCAATTCTGATAATTAACTTTTCAAGCAGCAAAAATTTAGAATATTGTTTAGTAAATAATACTTTATTCATTTATAAATATACTTTATTCATTTATAAATATTAATAATTAATTAATTTTAATTATTTATCTTAGTTTTTTAAATATCCCTTAATTTTCTATCAACTTCAGAATATCTGTATTAAATATTCTGTCAGCTTTGATAAAAGCTTTAAGTATACGCTCAGATAAATGTTCTAAATACATCCATATATAGAATATTGATCTGTGTGATTATGATTATAAATTATACTATAGTCGATGTGTGTTAAAAACTTGTGGATCAAAAGCTACACTCAATTTTATCACGATCATTTTTGAATATACATGATTTTGTACAAAAAAAATATGCGATTTTTTTTATCACAGACCAAGTAAATATTTATTATATGATAAAGAAAGATTATTGCTATATAATTGTTACAAGCATAGAATGTACAAAGTATGATAAGTGCAGTGCTCAATTATATAGTATGCATACAAATTTTCTGATCAATACTTTTTTCTCCCAAAGGTTCGATGGCTACCAGGCGGCACTTTAATAGAAAAAAAATACTTCTCTCATGCTAGTAATAAATACCGAATTTAATGATATTTAAAATAGGAGAGATTTTCATCGATCTCTATACCCAACAAATTAAGATACAGAAAGAGACTGCGTCTTGGGTTATAGTTTCGTTGAATTTATTTCCTACTTTCAATATGAATTTAAGTTATTTAATTAGAAAATATTGCTTGTTTATCAGACTTTATTTCTATTAGACACTGCTGGATCTATCTATTGTACATAATAATATACTTATTTTACTCGGATGGGAAATTACAACCTGATTGTATATAATATCATGAAGAAATGGGTACACGACTTGCTCGTTTGATTTAATTCGTATCCTATAACATAAATAGGATCGAGTGTAATATATATATAGTAATTTAATATTGCAGAATATACAAGAATAATTGAAAAAAATATTGTAATTTTGATGTGTAAAATATTCTCTTTCACATTAGATAGATAAGCTAGGCATTATTATGTTACAATTTTATCATTGAATATTACATTTATATGATTGTATAGACTATAAAATGAGGTCTTTGTGTAAATATGAATATCTTAAGTATAAGCGAATATTTAGCGCGCTCGCATAATTAAGGAGCTTTTAAAGTATCTCTGCCGTATAATCACATGAGTGTATCTTTGTATGTATGTGTGTGTGAGTATATATGCATGATTATACATATATATATACATATGTATATGTATATATATGCATGTAAGAGCAATTAATAATGCGCCAAAGATCAGATGTCGGATAACTGTTGGCAATCAACACAATTGGAGAAGTCGTATAAGTGTGAAAAGCTCAATAAATAATTGCTATTGATATTGTGGTTTGTAAAGGGTGTAAAGTTTACATGCTACCATCTCCGCGCAATCTATGAGAATTACACCGATAATAAATGATCACTTTATGCCTGTTTATATATTATTAATAGTCGCTTGACGAGCTCCTTAATTTTGTAGGCAAAGCTGCAAATATATTATGTATATGGATGTGTGTTTTAAGATCATCAGATAAGGGGTTTGATGACTTTAAAACCTGCTATATGCAAAACATTTGTATTTTTAGTATTTGGTTATATAATATACATATATATATATATATATATATATATATATATATATATATATATAAATAGCAGTAAAAAAGAAGAAACCGATTGATAATAATCTAAGTAGAGATATATATATGTATATATCTACTATATATATATATATATATATACATATCTCCATGAAATAAAGAATTAGATACCATATTATATTTGTAGAAATGATTGAGCACGTGAGAGATATCGCGCTATGATTACGGAGAAAAAATATTACAATTATATTATTACCTATTATTACACAAAATGAATACACAACATAGTAATTTGCTAATTGTATCTTTTAATAATTACTGTAGACACACATTGATGAAAAAGGTTTTTTTTCTTGTTATTAATTATTAATTACCATAGACTTATAAGACAATGAAAATATGTTATAAAAAAATGCATTTGTTTGTTTTATATTACATTTTACCCATTTTTAATGAACAATTTACTTTGTTTTAATTAAAAATAAACACATGAAATTGTAGCGCGCGCGGGCACGTATATAAGTTACATATAATTACACACGTATATAAATTATTATATTTTTATTTTTCTATTGAACATGATCACATTATCTCATTTACGGAATAATTTAATCGAGATATTTCTTTTTTCAAGAAAAAATATATTTTATGATAATAATTTAGAAAAGTTAAAAAATATTTTTAATTATTGCAATTGTGCGCAATTAATATTACATCATATTTCGCACAATACAGTAACAACATTGACTATATCTTATTTTTGGCTATTAATTCTGCATTCTGTTTTCTAGAATTATCGAATACAATAATACATTTAAAATTTTTTATAAAATATTTCAAAATATAATATAAAAAAAATGAAATAGTATTTTGTTTTGTAATATATGAAAGAGAGAAAAATGCATATATACAGAATATTATAATAATATACAATATATTAATATATACTTTTCATATAGACTTTTTTATCCTTACACTTTATGCGATTTTTAAATTGTTACAATTTTTTATGTTTTTTCTATTTTCAATTATATATATTATTTTAAAATTTTTATACATATTTAGCTGTTTTTTAATTATAAATTTGTATACTCTATCTAATCCACCTTGAAGAATGTCAAAAATAGAAAAAAAATATTGATTATATTTGCATAATATGTACTTTTTAATTACTATTCAAAATTACACATTATCACAGATAAAATGATTTGATTAATTCTAATATGTTAGTGTTTGTATAAACACTTTAAAGCATAGAACACAACCAGAAATTGTGCACATTATGTGCATGTTACCCATTGAGAACATTGATAGACAGTAGTTCACGTCCATGTTTTTATGTCCACAGAGGGCGCACTGCTTTCAGGATCACTAGTTTCCCTAGAAGATATCTTTTAGGGACACTAAGAGATCACTAGACAGATAAAAAAGGATGGAAAATAGGTGCGTCTAGTTTTCTCTCTCTAACGAGAAGGGAAGGGGGGGTAAGAAAGAGGAACAATTTTCTCTGTTATTATGTATAATTATTGTTATATATATTATTATGTTTATGAGAATTTATCTATCACCTAAAAGCAGATAATCTCTCCTTCTCCTCTCTGCTATATAATAATCTTTGTTTGCAATCGAAAACGTGAAAAGTTATATGCTTATTGATCTATTATGTGTAATTTTCTGTCATACATGTATATCATATATGTAAATCAAGCATTGAAGACAGTCTAGAGAACAAAAAGTAAGAAGGAAAATTTGGTAAATAATCGTAGATGAGTAGAATTCCTTCGATAAGAATTACGTGTGTTGCGATTGTAACGTATGAATTTATCAGACATACGATTGGCTATCGGATAGAGAATTTCTAGTTTTTTCCAATGCCAGCGCCAATCAGTACTCTTAGTAATATTTCTTCTGTTAGTAATATTTCTTGCACATACTTATTGGTTGATACTCTTGGATAACCACCTTCACTTGACATCACAAATGTTTCGAAGCAAAAGGAGCAAGGTTTCTTCCGATATAACATCAAATGCATCCGTTATCAAGAGAAAATCTGCATATTTGAGGTGAATCGGAGGTAATGTTATCGCGTTACTCAACAAAATGCATATGTCGTTTATCTCAAAATGTCAAAGTGCTTTCGCTGCAACATATTTGAGCGATTTCATGTACAACAGCCTTTAGCGCGCGAAGGCAACCACGAATCCGCTATAAATTATCGGAACTCTCCCAGTGACCATCATTGAGCGCGTTGAGCGCCTAACGTCAGAACGTGGGATTATACGCGACGCCGACACGCGTTCTCTCTCCCCTCTCTAGGCTGTCGTAGCGAGCGCTGCCGTTGCCGTGCGCCGCGATCGAGCGAACGAATCGACGAGAGCGGAGCAGGAGCAGAGCAGAACGCGGAGCTGTCGAGAACCGAACCAGTCGCGGGGGTTCGCGGGGTCAGTCGGCGGATATATTATGTCAAAGCGAGACGCGGCGGTCTATCGAACGTGAGCGCGACCGCGTATATCATCCGTGTATCTCCTCGCTCTCGCACGCGGGAGGGTCGTTCGGTTAGCAAGTTCTCGCGTTGCTTACGCAAGCCGGATGCGTCTCGGCCGTCGCCGGCCGTTGATCAGCCGTGGCTAAACACGTCCCGTAGACCCAGTACATCCTGGATGCGAGTGTGCGCTCCTCGCGGTGTTGTCCTCTTCGCCGCGTCCCTTTTCCCGAAAACGCCGCTATGCTGACGCTGCAACATCAATTGTGAGTACCTGTTCGAAATGTGTACATATATGTCTATAAGGATCATATACATACACATACTTTTCGTACAGTTCGCGTGTCGCAATTGCACGCATTTAGAGAAGCCTTTTTGCCTTCTTTTCCTTTTTTTTTCTATTTTTTAGGAGCAAAATATATCGCATATTCTAGTGCAGCTGATCACAACATGCTTACTTTATATGCCCGCTTCGTTTTTTTTTGCTTGCTCTTACCTTATTATTGTCGACAAATTTTAAATTAACGCAATTGATGTATGCGATATATTTGTTCATCGACTGATCAGCTATTGTTGAATATTGATTTACATTTATTGCACGAGACTTGAATTAATCATCGAGACTAAGGTGGAGATGAGAGTTAGCTAAAATCGGTTCTAAATTTCTCTAAAGATATTATAAAACTTAAGCGAAGTAATATATCGTGATAATTATATTTATGTGAAAAAATGGAGACCAAAAATGAAAAGTATATGCTTTATTAAAGTTGCTTAAATTTTGCTAGTACTAAACGAGTCTTTAGTATTTGAGTTTTATCTCTAATTCTTATGTAAAGAGTGACTTTGAAATGACACATATTTTTATCAAATGTAAACTGCTATTAATTGCTTTTAGTTGCCTTTGAACAATATATTTAATACATCAAATGTAACATTTGATTACATTATAATTCAATTTCAATATTTATAATTCGACAGCTGTACGAATATTTTTTTCGTATATGATAATGAGAAATGTGCATAAATTATACGAAATGCATTCCAACTGATTATGAACTCGAGAGGGGAAAGCCTTCTTTGTAACGCATAAATATAATTATTTTATTTTTAAATATTCATTTCAAAAGAATTTTAATATATGTATGGCCTTATGCATTATTATCTTTAATGCTAATATATTATAACTTATTCTGATTCTAGATCTTTATTTTGTTTTAAAGATTTTTGTTTGTTCTCTCTCGTTAATTCTCGCTAATTCGTTAAATATCGCAACTCTCTTAAACAATTTCTATTTTATCATCTCGATTAACTTTGTAAATCTACTTCTATGAATATTATTAGTTGTGAAATGCCGATATGTGAAGCATCATCTATCAATTAAATGCGATAAGGACGCGTTTGTGCAAATCGATTTTATGACGCGTGAATAAACGTTGATGATCGCACACAAATGATGTACATACATTCATATATTCATTGATTTAAACGCGTTCTTGTTTCGGTATCGTGTTGTCTCGATTAAATATTCATATTACCCCGGTAGACTAGAGTTAATTGAACTATTGGATGCTGTCTTCATCTCGTCCCGTCGTCATCGTCGCAGTCGCGCTGCGAAGATCAGTCAATTTCCCGATAAAGTTCACACGGATATCTACATTCATGTGCGATAAGCTTACTCGACCTATCGATTTTCATATTTTATTATAGGCCATAAACATTCACTCAACGTTAAGTGAGACTTTACCTATCTATACTTCTTTCTAAAAAATAAAAAGAGAGTGAAAGCGATTTTTCGAATTTTTTCAATATCTATCGAAGTAAAGAAATAATATAAATAAATGAAATAATATTAGGCAAGAAATGTAATTTTTAATAATTATAGAAATATATATATTAACTTTATGATTAATTATTTTCCACGAAATTTTATAAATGATGAACAAGATTATATTTTTCCTTGAAATGATCGGTCTATTAACAATTTAATCTATAAACAATAAGTTCATTTTATAACATCTAGAATTTCACTTTAATCAATATTGTCGCGTGTTGTACATGACAGGAATTTCTTCCGATTATTATCGCACATTCGGCAAGTTTTGTCATCGTATTTTGAAACGTATATCGAAAAGAATTTACTTTAACTTGATGCTTTCGCCTTTTTATTTTAATAGAATATATCTAAAATATTTTCGAATCGTTTGGATTTATTTTCAAATTTTTTGTTTCATACTTTTTAATAAACACGATAATTATGTCGCATTATAATCATATTCATCCCTTTTTCTTTTTTTTTAAATATCGATTTCCACATTAAAATTAATATTATTTTTAACATTTAACATTTAGTATAATATATATAATTATGATCTAGAGCTCGCTTTCCACTTAATTACGATCGAAAATCACTGATATGATATGACTAATGGTTGATAGTCTCAAAAAAAATTTTCGAAAGCTAGTTTCCTGAAATTAACTGTAATTTCTATCTCTAATTCCTTTTTAAACTTTAAAACGCATGACTCGAGCGTTGCTTTAATATCTTTAGAATTGGATTTAATTAGTCAATTCTGGTAATTAGCAAAATCGACATTACAATTGATCCAAACAATTTTTTTTTAATTTTTTTTAGAATTTACTAACATCAATACTAACAATAAGATTCAGTCGAAAACAATTAAAATTAATTACACATTGTTTAAAATATAATCTGGCGATTTTTAAAATGCATGCTCGTATTTTGCGCTCTACGATGTGGCTACAACAATATCTCAGAACTAGAGGGGATGATCAGTATTAATTCAAATTAATTTTCTTTTAAAATGCTGATAATTTTAAATAAAAAAAATAAATACACTTTCTGGAGAGCCGTTGATTGTTCGCAGAACTTTTATTATTCTATTTCTGTCGTAAGAAATTGAATTTTCGCTCATGATAAAATAAAATACGCGCCCTGTACTTCGATCTCGATAAAGATGACTTCACCCTTTATCAAGAGAAAGAGAACCTTGGCATTAGCCTCTAATCGAGCGCAAAATATGCTCGCCGCACATTATATCCCTCTGGCATCTTACTTTATTATATCTCTCGTGGATAGACAGAGTTACACACATGTGTGAGAACGTGTGATGAAAACCGCTAGCTTTTAAACAACAAGGCGCACATTTCCCACCTACGTGCATGTCCGTCGTACATGCGTGCTGTTTACGGTATACCCATTATTATAACGCGTTGTGCATTACGAGGCATTAAAAATGGTTCACAATATAGAATCATATTATTTGTATGTTTTTACATGTATATACGACACACGCCGGAAGCACACCTCTGATGGTCATATAAGATTTTAAGAATGACCGACTTTTATGCTAATGTTCCTCCAGGGAGTTTGTAATAAATCGACACAGTCATATATATATAGTTGCACAAGAAAATTATGACTTCCTTCCGGTTTCGAAAGCTTCATCATATTTCGATACCTTCGACTTTGCGTAATCCCATATCATTATATCTTGATACACCCAGCTAATATATTTGTAAAAAGCAGTCGGTTATTAAAGTGCAATTTATTAAAATAAAAGCGCGAAGCATTATTCATAGATTCTTTTTCTCAATTCTTAATCAGATTGTCTATTTAAAAAATTGCTATAAAACAAAGATTATATTTTCTTGTTAGAGATAATACTAATCTATTGATAAATTTTAATCAAATTTATTATTATATAGAAATATTGCATATTATATTTTATATACACACACACACACACACACACACACACACACACACACACATACACACACACACACACAGGATGTCCCAGTTATCTTCCGTCATCTTTCAAAGACAGATTCCTGGGATCATCTGAAGATAATTTTTCCCCAACGAAAATGTCGAGGCACTAATAATTTTCGAATTATAAGTGATTGGAAATAAGGGGTTTTTCGTAAACTAAGCTTTGTAGAAATAAAATATTAACAAAACCGCATTCTTCGATTAATTTTAAATAAAAAGAGTTTACTTTAGTTGAGTTTTAATTTGAGACTTAATTGCAAAGATATATGATGACAAAAATCGGGAACGTGCAAAAAATGATGGCCTTCATTGACATTTTCGCTGAGGAAAAATCGTCTTCAAATGATCCCAGGAACTTGTCTTTGAAAGATGACGGAAAATAACTGGGACACCGTGTGTGTGTATATATATATGTATATACATATGTATATATATATATATATATATATATATATAATGTGTGTGTGTGTGTGTGTTATATAATATGCAATATTTAATGTAATTTTTTTATGTAATAATAAATATATATATATAAGTTTTAACTAGATTTATTATTACATAGAAATATGCGGAAAACGTTCGTTGAAGCAGTAATATATTTGCGACAAATTGATAGTTACTTGAAAACCGTTACCCGGTTCTTTGAACATCGACATTTGCACTGGAAAAACATTTGAAAAATAACGTTTAATGCCAATTGGAATTTGGAGGGGAGGAACAGCTGCTCGTCTTTCCAGCGATATGCTTCGTTAACACCGTTGCACGCGTTTAAATTATAATCGCAGATGCTGCTGTGTATATATCCGCGTATTACGCCCACTTAAAAATAATCTAAACCTCCATCAGGCATTCGCCTCCGTTAACGTTTCACGCTACCGATATCGTTTCCGCATCCGGAATTCGTAGAATTTCTATCGGGGCATCGAGAATTACGCGAAATCATTAAGTTTCATTATCTCGTTGCCATTTCGTGATCCTCGACGTGATCTCGACTGGGACAATATTTGCGCTTGTAATCGCTTGATATCGAAACAAGCTCTAGGAGACAAGGCCGTGACATTTTCCGTACCGGTTTTCCACTGCGACGGCCTTTTGTAAGCCACGCGAGCGTTTCAAAACACGGGAGATACGGCTGGTTGTGTTCCCCGGTACACTTTGTGATATGAAAACATTTCGAGGGCGAAGCAACTGGAGAGAAATGACGGAGCAGCCGCTTCGAAACTCGCGTAACGACTCCGTGTGTCATCGTCGCTCGTAAAGCAATATCGGAGCGAATTCAATCGCGAAATCTCGTAAACGCACGAACGATGCGGCGACGAATGTTTGTTGATAATTATCGTAATACATTGGAGAACGGAAGCAGAGAGTCACGATTCAATTAAATGCTTATTAAAATTACGTGTATTTAAGTTTACCATTCAAACGTATCTCTTTCTCATTTATATTTAAATTTATATTTAAATTTATCAACAA